CTGCGCAGTTCTGACTTACTTAGGGATTTAGTTACAAGTACATACATAAACAAATAGTCATTTGATGCAGGACGAACTCTTGGAAAGCTCTGCTAAAATGGCAGGTGGACCAAGGTTACATCCCTTCAGAGGTAGTTGGACACTGGTAGTGAAATAATCAAAGACCACAAAGACCCCTCTGTGACTGCGAACTGCATTATTCAGGACTCCGTAGTAACTAGACCTACTAGAAGTAGCAGGACTTTAAAGCTGCATCTGGTCCATTACTGGGCTTGGTGAAGAACAGGTCGTCAAACTCTCGACCGGATAAATGAGTTTGAAGATGTCGCAACATTTGCAACAACCCCGTTCTGAACATGCCATGGAGATAGCACTCCAAAACCCAGAACCATCCCAAACTGGGTCTCTATGACCAGAATCCTCAGAGGCAGCAACCTCCATTATCTCCACACATGCTCCCACTCCCTGATACTACTCAGACCAAGGAATGGCACACTCTATTCCTGGTCAAAGATCTCCCTTGCGTCACTTACAAGAAGAATTTAAGTGACTCTACCCTCATGAACCAAGCAGAGGGAGGGCCTTCCAGCAGTGGGCATATGACATTCAAGCCCCACACCATGACGAGGAAGAATGGAGGAGATTCCGTACTGAGCAGGTAGACCAACCGGCATGACATGGAGCAGCAGCCCAGGGCGAGGACTTTGTGTGGTCCAGTCACAGTAACACACCGACTGGATACCAGTCCATGACCTTCTCGGACACAAGATGCACATATTACTATTCACGTCCCGGGCTAGCACCACCCACGGAGGAAACTTCAGGATTCTGGAATCACCCAGTAGATATGCGAAGGGCATATCAGCACCTCCAAACTGACTACGACTGACTTCACCAAGAAGTAATCACCCTAATCAAGGTAGTCGCAGAGGAGCGAGCGGCACAGCTCGTGGCTGATGAGGCCCAGAAACAACTATTGGATGACCTAATCCTAGAAAAAGGATTGAAGGAGGAAGCTTTCACAGAGCTACGAGCCCCGAAAGATGAACTCGACATGGTCCAGCAGATGAGGCAGCATCTCCAAACAGTTGACCAAAGTGAGGCCAACTACAAGAAATACATAGCCGCATTGGAGATGCAGCTGAAGGCTGAAAAGAGGGAGTCTGACCTATGGAGACTTCAAAGTCTCGAGCATCGAAGAAGAATAGTTGAGCTCGAGCAAAGACAGAAGGCTCTCGAGAGGGTACCATCTCCACCACCAAGCCATCTCCAGGCCCCAAAGAGCCCTGTGCCACTAGAATCACTGTACCATGAAGAAATTATCACCCCACAGCACGGGGCATCACTGGTCTGGATCCTACCTCATGCACGTGCACGAGGCCTCGCACAGAGGCAAAAAAAGATCCAAAGCAAACCAGCATTCAGAACTGGATAACAGGAGTCGAGGGTCCTTCAACCTTCAACAGGACCCATAAGTCAAACACTCGGCAGCCTGGTCGAAGAATCGCCACACCCCCAATCTCTCCGGCACATTCAGTATACCTCGGCGATGACCACGACGACGAGTTCAAGGACATCCACTACGTTTTTCCCCTGGAGCCAGAAGTACCCGCTCCAGATTAGAACTGGAGGTCCATGGCTCCTACACCAGCTTCCTCAGACGAACAGCACAGACAATCGTTCTGAGGGCCAAAGGTCAATCTCCCTGAGGCATTTGATGGCACCAAGGTAAAGGCAAAGGCCTGGCTCACCGATGTTATGAACTACATCATCATGAAGCCTAGCAAGTTTAGTGATGAACAAGCTAAGGTTCAGTGGGCCATTTCCTATATATGTGGAAGTCACATCGACCACTGGAAGTCCTCATTACTAGAAAGGATGGACGGTGGTGAGATCGTGTACGACACGCTTCCAGACTTCGTCAAGGACTTCAAGAAAATGTATTATCCTGCAAACCCAGAACTGAAAGGCCAGCGCATGCTATGCACATTACAGCAGCGCTACAAACCTTGGGAGGAATTCATCACTGAATGGGAACATTGGGTCAAGTTCTCAGGGTACAAGAACGAGCAACTGCTGCTCCAGCTCCTTTGCAACACCATGCGGAAGGAGCTCTGCAACAAAATTTGTTCGTCAGAAGGCATCAGTTAGGACGTAAACAGCTACAGCCTCTGGAAGGAGGTTGCAGCCTGACTCGACCTCCAGCAGCAGCAGCAGTGGGCCACCACCTACGAAGACTGAAAGGGCAAAGGCAAGAAGTCCGACTCCAAGACATGGCAGGTTGCAGTAGAAGGTTCAGCAACAGCACCGGAAATGGCAAACATGATAAGGACAGCAAGGTCACCTGTCAAGAACGTGGATGAGGCAAGGAAGTCTGTTCCTCACAAGGACACCGTCGGGATCAAGGCGCAGTGCTGAAAGCAGAAGACTCCCTTTCAGCCTGCAGGAACTCAAGCTCGAGCCATATCAGTAGAAGAAACTGAGGCCATTGATATGCTCAGATGCCACCTCCCTATGGTCCATGGTCAGGCAGTACCGATCACTTCGTTGCGGAGCGAGGTGAGTATCAACCACTCTGCTCTGTCTCTGATGGTGTGCCAGTACAGGAAGATGACTCTTTTCTTGAAGGGTGCGAGGCCTGCAGGTTTCTTGCTACTAAGACTCTGTGATGTTAGTGGATATGGGTGATGTGTGTGTGGGTGGTGGACGAGAGTGTCGTCCGAAGCGTGCAATGGAAAGGTACGGTGCAGATAGTTTCATTCAGCTGGCTGGCTGACTGGCTGGAGCTAGGATGGAATGCTGGCCTTGCCCACATGCATGTTACTGTTTTGAGAGATGAATGTCCCACATTATGTCAGCTTCGTGCTTTGAATTGATCGCAAATGGGGTTTACGTGCCAATCAATTGTTCGCAAATGCTGTCTGAGCACTAACAGTTTGTTCGCAGATCTGCTAGCACGATCGTTCGGACCAGACGTCCGCCTCGGCCCTTCGAGTCTCCTATTTGGGGTTGTTTGAGTTTTGTTCGCAGATCTGCAGGGATTGTTCGCAGATCGTTCCCAGCGCTTTAATGCTGTTCGCAAACACGAGTTGGACACCTAATTGGGACTGTGGGAAAAAAATCCTAATATGGAACTTGTTTGTCTGCTACCATTGGCCTTGGCTGGACCCCATTTGGTGTGTTCGATCACTTTGTTCCTTCTAGCGCTCGACTGATAAAGTCCTCCTGGCCTCGATAGAACAAGTTAACCGAGGAACTGTGCGTAAGAGACCGTACTGAGCCTAGGTGATCGCCTTTATCTCTGGGCTTGTGGTGCGAGTTGTCCGTAGTGCAGACTTTGTTAACGAAGTTATCGAGTTCGATAGAACACAATTAATAGTGAAGCAATAGATTGGTATCAAAGATGAGCTGTGTAGAGTGGAATAATAGAACTGTGGAACTATGAAAAAGTTCGCTCCTGTGATCCCCTCTCAGTCGATTATCCTTTTCGCCAATTGTGACCAGATTTATATACTATGACGGACAGCTCATTGCCAAACTGTTCATTACTATGGGAAGTGTCTGTACCCTGCTTCCAGAGACTAGAAGCATATCTGAAATGTGTCTGAAATCTAAAACTTGTAAGAGTGGTATCCTGCTAACGCTGTAACTAATATCCTGCTACTGCTATGCTCATTCGAGCAGTTTATCCTCGATCCTCAGTACCGCCTTCGCCCCTTGGTTTTTCTGGAAGGTGTACTGGGCTGCCGCTGGCTTCTTGCTCATGCCTCACTCAGTCGAGACCATCTTTTCCAGCTCCAACTGCCTCGTGTAGTACGCATGTCTCGGAGGCAGTTGATATGACAAAGGGTTGGTTGGCTGCCTGGGCTTGCCTGCTGCCTGCCTCGTGCTTTGTGCTCAGCTCATTTCTGCGCTCATCACTGTATGAGCATTTAAGGCAGCCATGATGACCAACCCCACTCTGCTCAACCAGGCAGGTTTTCAATACAGCAAGGCATAAGTACGCATGTCTTGCCAGAAAAGGACAATACTGGGAGTCCCTTGATGCTGGAGGCACAAAAGCCTGAGAACGGTCTTGGGATAACTGGGTCCACCCAAGGTGAGCCCCTGGGCATGGACGCTCTATTGGTCATGGAGGCCCAAAAACCTGAGAAGGGCCTTCAGAGCAATCCTGAAAATACCCAGGAGGGACGTGGGTAGGAGGGTCTAAGCACTGGTATGGGAAATTCGAGTACCTCAGTCACAGACGACAGCACACCACCACCCCCTAGCGGTTCTAGATTTTCTATACTTTCATCACTCACATGTACTTCTAGCACTACATCGGACAATATGGGTGCAAGTAGTGGTGCCCACACTATATCTTTAAATGTGGAGTCTCGGGATGACAAGGCAGAGTCCTCTGATCAAGCTCGGCAGGCTCAAGAAGCAGCTGTGCTTAATTCATGAAACCTTTTATTTCTTCATCTTTGAACACTGACAGTTTGCAGGTTGCAGCTTCCACCCCCAAGCATACACAGAAGAAGAACAGGAAAACAACCTTGCATGTATATCTAGACCATCCACAAGCGATTGTACCCTCACATCAGTCAGATGGAGCAGCAGGATATGACTTGCATTCAGTGGAGCAATGTACTATAGGACCCCATTCTCATGGACTCATAGATACCAGCCTGAAGTTGATGATATCAAGTGGATGCTACGGACGCATCGCTCCACGCCCAGGTCTGGCTGTAAAAAAGGGAATAGATGTAGGAGCCGGAGTAATAGACTCAGACTACACAGGACGAGTCAAAATACTGCTAATCAATACCCTTGATACCCCTTTCGAGATTGAGTATGGCGATCACATTGCCCAGCTCATCTTAGGACGAAACGATACCCTCATTACCAAAGTCATAACGGAGATAGCAGAAACAGCAAGAGGGACTGCTGGATTCGGGTCCACTGGTCATAAACTGCAAGGCAACTTCAATGTTCGAGCAGTACGACGACATTGCCAGATCGATATACCAATGACTATAGAAGTTGGGGACAGGAATATACCAGCAAATGCACTCCTAGACTCCGGATGCACTGGATGCTGCATCGACGAACAATTTGTAAAAAAAGTTCAATATACCCACTATACCGTTCAAATGACCGGTACAAGTTTTCAATGTGAATGGATCCCCCAACCGAAATGGCGATATGACACATTATGTATTTCTAGACATAGTTGTTCAGGGCCATAGAGAGCGCCGCAAGCTCAATGTCACTACCCTTTCAGACCACGACATATTCCTCGGGTTTGACTGGTTAGAATACCATAATCCAGAGATAGATTGGGCTAAATGCACACTTCCCTTCACACGTTGTAACTGTGGGGAGCTCAAGCTGGAGGATGGTGACAAGGTGCTGGCACTGGACAGCGACTACATTCAGAAGCAGTTTTCCGAATATGAACACATACGAGCCACCAAGGCCACCGATCTAGCCATCGCTCAAGGCATAAGTACTAAAGCTAAGAGCATGCAAGAGGTAGTTCCAGAAGAATATTGGAATTACAAGGAGGTCTTCGAGGAAACTGAATTCGATCAGTTGCCTGAGTGCAGAGTATGAAATCATGCTATAGAACTAGTAGACAGCGCGAAATCCTTCTGCGGAAAGGTATACCCAATGAGCATAAAAGAACAAGAAGCTCTGGATATTTTCCTCAAAGAAAATCTAAAGACTGGTTGCATCAGACAGTCTAAATCCCCCTGGGATGCCCCCTTCTTCTTTGTCAAGAAAAAGGATGGCAAATCAAGGCCGGTTCAGGACTATAGATGGCTCAATGAAATCACGAAGAAAAATAAATACCCGCTCCCTCTAATCAATGACTTATTTGACCGGCTTAAGGGAGCCCAATTCTACTCTAAACTCAACATCCGGTGGGTTTATAATAACATATGGATCAAGGAAGGAGACGAGGAAAAGGCCACGTTCGTCACGAACTGAGGTCTATTCGAACCTCTAGTGATGTTCTTCGGACTCACTAATTCACCATCAACGTTCCAAATGATGATGAATGACATCTTTCACAATCTTATCCTCACTGGAAAGGTTATGGTATATCTGGACGATATCTTAATATTCACCAAGGACATGGAGGAACATCGCCAGGTTGTAAAACAGGTACTTAGAATACTCCGGGAACACATGTGTCACAGATTTTCGCCACAAAGTCTGCATGTGACTTTTCTCACACCACAGATCATGTGCTTCACCAATATCTCATGCCACTCAGCCACAGATGCGACGCGTAGAGATCAGGTGATAGTCCACATCACATGTTATGGTCCAGACCCGCGGATGATACGGTCGGACCTGTCTATTCCAGGATACAATAGAGGCACCCATTTGGGAACAAAGGGAACAAGGACTATTGTTATGCATCAGCCTTCCACTTCCTATTAGTTTAGCCAGAAGCCTAGATAGGCACGATGTTCACACCGGAGAACAAAAGGGAAACCAAGATAGGCACGATGAGCACATGCATTACTGCGGCAACCATCAAATCTTCCCACTTATTGTTCTACTTCCAGACATCCTATTGTTTCATGTATGGCCATTAGCTTATACCCGTAGATAGGTAGCTTAGGTAAGATAGCCTGCTGTACATGTATATAAGACCAGCCATGTAGAGGATGAAACCTCAGATTGTTTCTCCTCGTCTACTACCTGTAGCACTCACTGAGCTTACCAAGCTCCCTCATATATCTTGAGATCAGGGGGATCAGGACAGCACATTCCACATGACTGATCCTTTTTAGTCTTTTTGATCTCTTGTCCGGTGTTACCGTGACATTAGAAACAATCTGACATTTTCTGCACCCCTGCTTAGTGTCTAACACAAGCGGCCACATATTTTCAGCACAAGCAGTTTCAGCTGTAGCGCACAGCTTTTTTGACATACATTCCAACCCGATCTCTACCCGGCGTGAGCCTCAGCAAGACTCTGAGCTGCCCAAAGCCTCAAAGCGCAAGGTCACCCCCAGGATCGACCTCGACACCCACTACAAGCGTCAGGAAACCAACAAGGAGCGTGGAAGACTCCTCACACTCACGTCACTCAGCGCATCGTCCACAGACAGGCAGCGCGCAGCAGCTAGGGTTGTCGATACTACACACATTATAAAGTACGAAATCATCCGCAAACCTCGTGATCGCACCCCACCGCTTGAATGCTACAAGCCCAGAAAAGGATGACTTACCACTGGTAGTCGCAAGCCGGCACCACCCCCAGAGCTTATCACTTCCAACGCAGTTCCTCCCCCCATCATTGCTCCCATTCCAACTCATCCCCTACCCAACTTCATAAAGACAAACACTGTTGCACATCCCATCCGCCCACTCCCTTCCAGAGTCAGGCCGACGATCCACATTGAGACCCTTACGAAGCAGGTAGACACTACCCGCTTCAGGCTCCAACCCATATTAGGAGCATTCTCATATCATCTCAAGGACGAGCACCAAGGACCCATCTTTAGCCTCGCCACAGAGCTCGATAAAGTCTGCGCCGACCTACACACAGGGATGTGCACATATACATTCGTCGAGAAGCAGGTTATCAACAAAGTCTGTCTGGAGATAGGGGGAATCAGTTTCAAGCAGATAGAAAAGGAAGAGAGGCTGCAGAAAATCACCAAGGCTCTGGTCTTTATCTCGAAAGTGAGATATTTGCACTTTTTGTATTAGTTTACCTATATCACAATGGAGTCAGCCGATCGTGCACACGCATCCACATTCAGGCAATGAATGGATGACATTCTTCATATAAACGTCGAGTCAGCACATGACAGAAGCACCCCACGTGCCTCGCAGCGCAATTCACCAGAACCTGCGCTAGGACCACAGGACTCTGCATCTCAAGTCGGAGGACCAGCATCCCCGACACCATCACTTGTACCCGCCTACGTTTCACCCATCTGGGAGCTTGACGGACACCAATTCGAGCACCTAGAAGATGCTCTCAGACAGTCGACTCCCGGAGAAGTCCCGGACCACATACGCGAATGGGTAATTGTCGCAATGAAGCTCACAGTCACTACCAAAATTGCCAAGATCTACAATGTGCTCAAAAACAAGATGTACGAGCACAAGAAAGCCTTTGAATCGCTAATCCAAAACAACAAAAGCGAACACCGACTTAAGGAGGCAGTTCTCCAGATGGAGATCGGGAAGCTTAAGGATAGGATCCTTGCACAAGATGCACATATGACAGTTTTAAATGATGAGCTCACGGGAATCCAGGCAGCAATGCTCGACATGGGCAAAGAAATGATGGAAATCAAGGCAGCTAACGTTAAGCTGCGGCACGAGCTAGCTTCGCTCAAAGCAAGCGGCGTCACTACAATGCAAGGTCAAACATCCGGCATGGTCCAATCACACAAGCCCCGCATCAAAATTGCCGAACCTCCACACTACTCGGGCAAAGGAAGTCTAGAGGACTGGCTCCAACAACTCGGTATATGGATGCGGTGGAATGAGATCAACGACGATGAACACAAGATTACCACGGCCCTGCTGCATTTGGAAGGTGGCGTGTTCACATACATGTCCGAGTACGTGACCAGAGCAGCAGCACGGCAGGCACTCGGCACATGGGAAGACTTCATCAACATTCTCAAAGTAAACTACAGGACCCTCGACCCGGACAAGGACGCACAACAACATTTGAAGGAGATCTGCACAAAAATCTATCCTACCATGGTCTCCTTCACAGAACAGTTCCGGCAATGGGTCACTCAGACCAACTTAGGGCACACCGCACTCATCGGTTACATCGCTGAACACCAAAGCAAGGAGGTACGACAGGCAATGGTCACACGAGACAGCCTAGGCATTTCTGACCCAATCACATGGCCGAAATACCTCGACCTCTGCTTACAACTCGAGTCCAAGTTCAGAGCCGACAAGGCAGGTCAATGCGGAACAGTAACAACATCATCATCATCAACACCATGAGCCCCAAAAGACCCCAACGCAATGGTCGTGGATCGAGTATCCACCCTCACCAAAGAGCAAGAAGGATGGCTGGAGAAAAAGCTGTGTGTACGATGTGGGAAACACCCCTTCATTTTTAAACAGCGATGCCCAGACCCCAAGTACAAAGGCAAATTTGAACTGCCAAAGTGGGGCCAAGCAACAAGGACAATTTCTTCAAACACGGCCTCAGACATCTCTGACGACAGCAAGGCGAGGGAAGAAGCAGTCCATGCTTTCATCGCCAGCTACGACGCAAAGGGAAAGGAAAAGGAGGCAGAACCGGAACCAGCTGTCAAAGCAGCTAGGATCACGGAGATAGAAGATGATGAGGATTTTCTTCGGCGGGTTCTCTGAGGTCTGGCCAGAGTTCCCATAGACACTGTAATAGTACCTACTCGCTCTCGCATGTACCAGTATCAAGTTTTTTATACATCGCATCTACTGGTTCGTCAAAACATGTGATTGATTTACCTGTTCACCTCAAACAGGGAGTAAGGGAAGTCCAGACTGAGGCGCTCCTCGATTCAGGAGCATATTCTTGCTACATCAACCCATGGCTGGTTGATCAGTTGAATCTCACTACGATCTCACTCGAGAAAGAGATCAGGGTTTACAACGCAGATGCATCTCACAACAAGGGTGGAACCGTTAAGAAAAGGGTTCTTCTAAGTATAACCATCAGAAATCACACAAGCAAGCAAAGCCTTTTGGTCACCGATATAGGACATAAAGACGTTATACTAGGCATGAGTTTCCTCAAGGAGCATAATCCCAAAGTGAATTGGGGAAAACTCACAGTCGATTTCACCCGGTGCCCACAAAGATGCACACCCTCACAGGTAGCAATCCAGAAGGAGGACCTGGAAGACACAAACATCTCCCACATCGAAGACCTAATGGAGTTCGTTGGTTCCCAGGAGTTAGGTGACAACTGGAACGACATGGACAGCTTCATCAGATGAGTGTCATTATCAGAAGACCCTGATGCACAGGCCGTAGCATCACTCATTATGGGTCTTGACACCAAGAGGAATCAGGATAGAGCACCGCAAAAAGGAGAACAGGACAAAGACTACTGGTCAGCCTATGTCCCCAAACACTTCCACGAGTATGGCGATGTGTTCTCCAAGAAGCAGTCAGAACGAATGCCCACAAGAAAGCCCTACGATCATCCAATCGAACTTGTTTCAGAGGCATCGTTACCATGCCCGGCAAAGTTATATCCTATGAACCTACAGGAAAGAAATTCGCTCGACACGTGGATAGACCAAGAGTTGGCCAAAGGTTACATCAAGAGATCAAGGAGTCCAACTGCAGCACCCGTTTTTTTCGTCAAAAAGAAAGACGGATCACTGAGGCTCATACAAGATTACAGGAACCTCAATGCAGTCACAAAGAAGAACAAGTTCCCAATCCCACGCATTTTGGACCTCATCGACAGACTCTCACATGCTAGTATATTTACGAAGCTTGATCTGAGATGGGGGTTCAACAACATAAGGATTAGGGAAGGAGACGAAGAGAAAGCCACCTTCATCACACATCATGGTCTCTTCGAACCCACCGTAATGTACTTCAGTTTCTGCAATGTTCCTAGCACCTTCCAAACAATGATGAATACAGTCCTCGAAGACTTAATTTACACTGGAAAGGTGGTAGTCTACTTAGACGATATCCTCATATTTACAGACAATCTCGATGAACACCGACGACTAGTGAAAGCAGTTCTACAGTGCCTCCGGGACAATGACTTATATGTCAAACCGGAGAAATGCTTCTTTGAACAGTCCTCAATCGAGTATCTTGGCATGATCATCAGCAAGAACTCAGTACAGATGGACCCTGCTAAAGTCGAAGGTGTACTTGGCTGGCCCGCACCGACAAAGGTCAAACAAGTACAGGCCTTTTTAGGATTCGCGAATTTCTACAGGTGATTTATAAAGGACTTTGCGAAACTCGCATGACCTTTAACGCTTCTCACCTGTAAGGACGTGCCCTGGCAATGGAAGGAAGAGCAAGACCAAGCCTTCAGTGCACTTAAAATGGTGTTCACTTCAGCCCCGATCCTACAACTCCCCAATGACACTGCACCATACTGTCTAGAAACAGACTCTTCAGATTACGCAACTGGTGCAGTACTCGAACAACTGGGAGAGGACAAGCTATGGCATTCAGTCGCATACTACTCTAAGTCACTCAACGAACATGAGCGGAACTATGAGATTTATGACAAGGAGATGCTTGCTATCATTCGGGCACTAGAAGAATACCGGCACTATTTAGAAGGACACCTAGAACCCATTGAGATTTGGTCAGACCATCTCAACCTTACATACTTCTGTCAGGCACAAAAATTATCCCGGCGCCAAGTGCGCTGGTCATTATTCCTCACAAGATTTAATTTCATACTTAGTCACCAACCTGGAAAGACTATGCTACGTGCCGATCCTCTGTCCAGGAGGCCAGACCATGAGAGGGGGGTAGACAGCGACAATTTGAACCAAATGCTGTTAAAACCTGAATTTTTCGCTATCAATGCGATTCGACCCACTCACGCATCTGAAGTTGATGATGCTCAACTACTGGAAAGGATCAAGAAGGCACTCACAGATGACATGATGACCAAAAATTATCGTGCGCTTTTGACTACAGGACAGCACGAATTTGGGAAAAACCTCGCAGAATGAACTTTGAGCACGGACTGCTGCTCCATCGTGGAAAGGTTTATGTCTCCAAGGATCAACAGCTATGCCTTGACCTAATAAAACTCCATCACGACACCTTACCAGCTGGACACCCCAGCAGATTCAAAACGTTGGAGCTTATTACCCAGAATTATTGGTGGCCAGGAATGTCTGTAATGGTTAAACAATACGTACAAGGTCGTGACAGTTGTCAACGCAACAAGTACTCAAGAGAAAAACCATACAGACTATTACAACCCAATGAGGTACCAGGAGAACCATGGGAAATCATCACAGTCGATCTCATCACTCAACTTCCTCCAGCCATGGACTTTAGGGGAGAAAAGAAGATGGCAATACTTGTCGTCGTAGACAGACTCACAAAGCGAGCGCACTTTTACGCAACGGACGACACAGTCACATCGTCGCAAGTCGCTAACGTATTCTATAATGAAGTCTTCAAACTCCACGGATTGCCGCGCCAGATTATCTCAGACAGAGATACTCAATTTGCGAGCAAACTGTTCTAGGAGTTCTGCCAGAAACTCGGTATAAAGTCTACAATGTCCACAGCATATCACCCCCAAACAGATGGTCAGACAGAAAGGGTTAATCAGGTGTTGGAACAGTACCTACATATGTACTGTAATCACAGACAGAATGATTGGGTCTATTACCTGCCAACGGCAGAATTTTCATACAATAACCAGACCCATGAGTCCACCGCACTTTCCCCATTCTTTGTCGAATATGGCCGGCATCCAAAGATGGCACCAGACGTGCATGAATCAATATGTCACCCTTCATTGGAACATCTATTCGCTCACCGATCCGAGGCACAAGAACAGGCAAAGGCAGCATTGGAAGTTTCAGCTTCATGGATGAAATGGTACTTTGACGAGAAAAAGGGAGAAGTCCCATTCAAAGTCATAGACCTGGTACTACTCAAGGGAAAGGATCTCAGAGTAAAAGTCAAATCCGCAAAGCTAGGCACACAAAACTTCGGACCTTACAAAGTACTTCAGAAGCTAGGCCCAGTCACATTCAAACTGGAACTGCCTAAGCAAATGAAGGTCCACCCGGTCTTCCACGCTAGCAAGTTGATCATGTACCATCAAGACACGGTCGCAAACCGCAAACCCCCAAAGCCCCCAGCTATAGAAATCGAAGGAGAACCAGAATTCGAAGTTGAAGAAATACTAGACTCTAAGGTCGTAAGGGGAAGGGTCCAATACCTCATCAAATGGAAAGGCTATGACCATTCCGACGATACATGGGAACCCCGAACAAATCTTACCAACGCCGATGAGCTTCTTCAAGAATTCCACCAGCAACATCCAGATGCAGCAAAAGCACCAATCAGGGTCGTCACTTTTGGTGGAAAACGCTTCGAATTATCCTCATATGAAGTTGCACCGATCTCCACACACCGAATCAACATGTCTGACCATCCAGACGAGTTCTTCCTATATCATAAGATGACAGATCTCGCCAAATCACCAAAAAAATCCTCAAATGAAGCAGCAGGATGGGATATTTATGCAGCAGAAATGCATGAAATCCCCCCGCATTCACGAGCTGTGGTAGGAATGGGAGTCTCGCGATTGACCCTCCCAAACATACCTATACATGAATAGCTCCACGCAGTGGACTGGCTGCATGAGGAATTGACGTGGGCGCAGGAGTCGTCGATCCATATTACACTGGAGAACTCAAGGTCATACTAATCAACACAATGGATTTCGTATTTTCGGTCAAGCCGGGAGACAGAATAGCCCAAATAATCTTCGAGTATTATGCAGAAGGGCTTCCCTCCTGAAGCTACCAACCGTTGTGAGCAACTAGAAGGGGTAATAAAGGTTTTGGCTCCTCGGGACAATGAGCCTTGAAAGGGGGGTAGTGTCACAGATTTTCACCACAAAGTCTGCACGTGACTTTTCTCACACCACAGATCACGTGCTTCACCAATATCTCATGCCATTCAGCCACAGACGTGATGCGTAGAGATCAGGTGATAGTCCACATCACATGTTATGGTCCAGACCCGCGGATGATACGGTCGGACCTGTCTATTCCAGGATACAATAGAGGCACCCATTTGGGAACAAAGAGAACAAGGACTATTGTTATGCATCGGCCTTCCGCTTCCTATTAGTTTAGCCAGAAGCCTAGATAGGCACGATGTTCACACCGGAGAACAAAAGGAAAACCAAGATAGGCACGATGAGCACATGCATTACTGCGGCAACCATCAAATCTTCCCACTTATTGTTCTACTTCCAGACATCCTATTGTTTCATGTATGGCCATTAGCTTATACCCGTAGATAGGTAGCTTAGGTAAGATAGCCTGCTGTACATGTATATAAGACCAGCCATGTAGAGGACGAAACCTCAGATTGTTTCTCCTCGTCTACTACCTGTAGCACTCACTGAGCTTACCAAGCTCCCTCATATATCTCTACCCTTTTCTGCATATGCCACATCAACCAGTAAGTCAATAGGCTCTTGCGCCACATAGGGTTCAGGGGGATACCTTGAGATCAGGGAGATCAGGACAGCACATTCCACGTGACTGATCCTTTTTAGTCTTTTTGATCTCTTGTCCGGTGTTACCGTGACAACATGTTGACGTGCAAACCTGAGAAATGCGAGTTCCATGTCGAAGAAACTGAGTACCTAGGCCACATCATTGGCCATGGGAAACTTCACATGGATCCTGCAAAGGTGGCTGGCATCACTGAATGGCCAGAATTCAGGTCCAAGAAAGATGTTTAGCAGTTTCTTGAATTTTGTAATTATTACAGATGCTTTGTAAAAGGCTTTGGGTTTTTGGCCAAACCTCTATCGGACCTTACGGGCAACCGAAAATGGGAATGGATGGACACTGAATGATGTGTCTTCCAGGGTCTCAAGGACCTCCTAAAATCAGCCCCAATTGTACATATACCTATGGACGAGGACCCATTTATGGTAGAAGTAGATGCTTTGCAATTCACCCTCGGGGCAGTTCTCATGCAGAAGCAAGATAATATTTGGGTTCCAGTATCATATTACAGTAGATCTTTCAAGGACGCTGAAAAGAACTACCAGGTCTACGACTGGGAGCTCTTACCAATCGTAGATTGTCTAGAAGAATGGCGCCATTACTTAATACATGCTAAACATACTGTACAGATCTTTACTGATCACCTTAACCTCACATACTTTAGGAAACCCCAGAAGATTAACCCATGTCAAGCCCACTGGATGACCTTCCTCGCCGAATACGATTTCGGACTCCATCATATTCTTGGCAAGAAAAATAGCACAGTAGATGCTCTTAGCAGACGACCAAACTACGATGATGGCATGGACCATTTGGACAATCAAGTTGTATTGCCAAATGAACTATTCCGCACAACCAAAATCGTAGGGACCGAAACTATCTGCGACCTCTGCACCACACATTCATCTGAATATTTATTATAAAAAAATCTGCCACAAAAGAAGCTCGAAGTGGCTGAGGACAGCACACTCTGGAGGGGGAGGTGAAATTCTCATCATACCCAATAATCATGAAATTATCGGCAAAATAATATGCTCCCATCACGATGCATCGTTCATGGGTCACCCAGGAATAGAAAGGATGTTGGAACTAATCAAGTGATCGTACTGGTGGCTGGAGATGATCAAAGATGTAATGGCGTATGTGAAAGGTTGTGGGACCTGTCAAAAGGCCAAAGATAACCACCAACATAGATCAGCCCCATTAGAGCCAAACCCAGTCCGAGATCATAACTGGCAGTACATCTCCATGGACCTTATTGTAAAACTACCCACTGTAGATGAGTATGACTCCATCCTTGTATTTGTGGACTTGAAGTCAAAAGACTTCATAGCTATACCCTGCAAGGAGTCGATTAACTCAAAGGACTATGCGGACTTGTATATTAAACATGTAATGTCGGCGCACAGACTAGCAAAAAGGATATGGTCCAACAGGGGACCACAGTTCATATCCTCATTTACCAAGGATGTGTACCAACAGTTGGGCATCCAGGGGAATCCTTCTACTGCCTACCACCCTCAGACAGATGGGCAGAATGAACGGATGAACCAGGAAATAGAGACCTACTTGAGGATATATACACCTCCTATAGACAGGATGACTGGCCATCCAAAATACCCCTTGCTATGTTCGCATACCGAAACCATAGACAGGCAAGCACCGGCTATACCCCTTTCTACCTTACACATGGATACCATCCCTACACGGAAGTCGAAACCAGGAAAGAGCCCCGTAATCAATCGGCTGAAGAATGGACAAAGGAAATGGAGGCACTTTCCAAGGACGTGACTAAACACCTTACAAAATCGAAAGCTATAATGAAGAAGTACCACGATGGCAAATACCAAGCACATGCTGCCTATACCAAGGGCGATCTGGTACTACTAGAAGGAACTAACATTACAACCACTCGACCAAGCAAGAAGCTGGACGATAAACGCTACAGACCATTTACCATAGTAGAAAAGGTCAGGAAGTCAGCTTTCAGACTCAAGCTTCCATCTGCTTGACGTCATATACACCCCGTCTTTCACAAATCCTTATTATTACCATTTCATACCCCACAGTTTAGTGTACAAAAGGACGATAGTACTATACCCGTTCCGGAAGGCGAATCCCCCACCATTGACCATATACTCGACAGCAAAAAGTCCAAGAACGGACTATTATACCTGGTCAAATGGAAAGGGAAGGATGATACCGAAAACACCTGGGTACCCTGCTCTACGATAGCAAAGGACCACATACTACTATTAGATAATTTCCATAAACTACATCCAAAGGCACCTAGACTGCCTAATCTCCTTACTATACCCAGAGGATGAAAGATCTGAGGCATGACTGAAGAAAGCAGTGAAGCTGGTGATAGTACAGAGGATGAGGAATGGAGAGAAAAGATCCACTGGCAAGAAAAAATGGAAAGATGGATAAAGAGAAAATACCAAGCCCATGTCACGCTCCATACCCTGAAGGATATCCGATCGGCTTAGAAATCAGCATACCCGAGCGACTTGATATCTCGACAATATGGCTTGCAGACCCTGACCATTATATCCACACAATCATCTGTGTCAGTCGTCCATATTCTCGAAACCATCAATTCGTATACCCAGTCCACGCCCAATGGATCATAGAAGAAAAGAAGATTCAGTGCCCCGAATGCACCCACGGCTACTACTACCTAGATGATACCAAGATACCCTGGGAGTATATGACTGCAAAGAATGTCCCGGTGAAGGAAGAGGATGTCTCCAAATATACCATATATGACCTGGAGTGCCCGCGGACACCAATACCCAAAGACAAATGAGCACTCCAAGCAGTTCACCCACATATTTATCAGTAGGAACCAAGGGGCTTCGTGAGGACACTTCAGCCTGGAGGGAGGGGGTACTGTCACAGGTTTTCCATGCCACAAGTCTCAAGCGTCAAGGACTTTAGTTCATCCACTCATATACCATATACAGAATGTACCACTATGCCTCCACATGTATACCTTAGTATATCCACGCCACTCGGACATCCCTCGGACATATACCAGTCACGTGACCCTACATCATAGTGACATCACAGGCCTGGACTTCATAGACACTCCTAGACTTAGACGGACTCCACTAGGCCTGAGCACGCCATAGCACACCATAATGATGTATTAGTACGAATCTAGGGTATGCAGGGTCCTACACCCAGTACCAGGGGTCTAGGCCCACATCTATATATACTGGCTCGAGCTGAGGCCTCCACCTCAGTTTCGAGTTGGTCTTTACTCCTCCACTTAAGCCAAAGAACCCTGATGGGTTAGGCGAGAGTGAACTCAAGGAGTTCTTGAGATCCTTCACAGCCTGACCCGCCACACAAGATCAGCACCTAGAGTATTCTCACATGCCTGTGAAATTTGATGACGGTCCCCGAGTCGACTCGTCTTGTTTACCATCTTACAAACGTTCTTTTGCAACAATAAAGTCAGGCTGTGAGGCTGGTTGCCAAACCATGTGGCGACACCCGACCTATCCGGAGCGGACCCCAGACTCCGCTCCGGAGTTGGCCGGCCACAGGCGCAGAATATCACGGCTATGCCTCAATCCCACTCGTTGCTTGGGGCGATCCTCCGCGTTGTAAGCCGAATGCTCGTCCGGACCTCTCTGTGGTATTGGCAGTGTCGAGCCAGAAGACTCGGCGCCGTAGGACCAATGCAAGGCTAATGCAGTCGCCGCCAAGTCGGTACTCCAATTGCCTGCCACTGGTGTGATAGCTGTTGTGTACATTTGTGGGTCCGCTCATTCCATACCAGCGGCGATCATTGCCAACCAGTTGCTGCTTTCTATTCTCGTCACGGGCTCCATGTGTCTTCCGGCCCACAGCCACGCCTCATATACCCAACCATGAGCCAACCACCCACTCCGTCGAGGGATGCAGACCGCACTGCGAATGAGCAATGTCTTTCTAGCCGTGGATCTGAAGGAGCAACGCTGGTGACGGGGATACGGGAGGCGTGCACTAATATCATTGTACACAGAGTCAGTTTTTGTTATCAACCGATATGTTTCTACCATTCTGAGGCGATCTGTACTGCAGAGGCAGGCTCAGCAACTAAGCATGGACGTCAGCACTCTTTTCTCCATGCTCAAGGACAATGTTGGATTGGTAACTCCTGCGGAGTTTGCTGAAATGCTAGACGAGATTCTCAAGTAGGCCTCCGGTACCGTTGAGCAAAGTGCAATCTAATGTAACAATCATTAGGGTTCTCACTTCAGTCTATCCTCGTGCTCGAGAATTGTCCCAATATGGTCTCTTACAGGCGCTCTGTAAGTGTAACCTACAGTTGTAAAGCACTTGCTAACGTTGTCTTGTAAATTTTTCTTGCAGGGCGAAGCGGACAAGTTGGATACGGCTTGGAGCAATGTAATGAGGAGGTTGGTGCCGCTTTGGACAAATGGGAAGTACGTGATAGCAGCATACTTTCATAGGATTGCGGTTGACTAACGGCCTACGAAGGTAGCAGTTGCAATCTCCCTTAACAATCTGCGAAATCCATTGGTTCGCATCGCACGACAAGATGCAGAGGAATGGTGGCAGTATATAGCGGAACACCGAGCTGAACTATTCAAGTTCACCAAGCAATTCCTTCGATCCCGGCAACTCATGCAACAGGCTGCAGAGCTGCATAAACGAGGTCATCCGGCGGCAGAGCGGATGATGGAGCTGAGTCAGTTGGTACGAGAACATCGAGGTTTGCTAAGTCGTTGCACTATCTCATAAGTGCGATCAATAGCTCCTACGACTGCCCATTCAGTCTGCGGATTCCACGAAAACCGTGAACGAGAGCTTATCGAAGGAAGAGCACGACGGATGTCGGGAAAGGCTAGTGGATTTTCAACGTCTTACTGGCATGCCTCCAACTATCAAGATCCTGAACGGCCAAGTGAAGAAACTCGGCGATAGGCCTCTGGTGTGGGGTAACTACAGCGAGCTGTGGAGTGGCGTCTGGCTTGGAAAGATTCAGGTTCGCTTTAGGCCATTCTATCTACTCACTTTTTGTGCTTATCCTACTGTGTCCAGATCGTCTTACGAGTGCAAGACATCGTCGTATCCCAACCAGCCGTTGCCGTGAGTCCACTTGACACCTGGCGTTAGTGGAAATACTCAGTTATGTTACAGCGATTTGAAGAAGAAGCCAGAAAGTGGGCGAAGCTGAAAAATCCCAATGTTCTCCCTTTCTTTGGGATAGTGACGGATTTAGGTCCCATAATACACACTGTAAGTTGATATGTTGTGGGAGCGAATTAAGTGCTAATCATGTTGTCAGGCGACTCCTTGGTGCGAATACGGAAACATCCTAGAGTTCGTGCCATTTTTCGAAATCCCTATTCTGGAGTGCTCATACGCTTTTAGATTTATGAAGAACAATCCTGCTTATGCTAGAACACGACTTGTAAGCAGCTTTCCAATTCCACAGCACCTCTAGACGCTGTTTTGGATGAAATCCGAATTTTAGCTCTTAGGCGCTGCACAAGGCCTACGATACCTTCATCAGGAAAACGTTGTTCATGGCAACGGTAAATTCTAATATTATGTTCGATAGAAGCGACTGATGAGGCTCATCTGAATCCAGTGAAATGCGTGAGCCGTCCTTGTTTGTGCTCTTTGCCTGTTAACGGTTCTCACACCATCATAGACAAATTTCCTCATCAATGAGAAGGTCCGTTGACGAGATGTTTCGAAGATTCTTTAGCTCATATGTACACTTACAAGGGCAATGCACGCATCGCCGACTACAGCATGATCCAAGTCGTCGCAGAAATCACCAAGAAGCGGGCTGCTCGCATTCTGGATGAAGCAGAATTGACACGCTGGTTAGCGCCTGAATTGGTGTGCGATGCTAGTCTGCCTGCGGCGACCGCTGCTTGTGACGTTTGGTCGTTCGGGATGGCAATGCTCGAGTGTTATACGTCGTGCCCTCCATATGAGGAACTCTCAAACAACATGCTCGTCGCTGATGCCCATTACCGTGGTCAATACCCCACAAGACCGAAGGATACTACAGAATTAACAGATGATATATGGGAGATTCTAATCAGCTGCTGGCGCAAAAGACCCGGAGAACGTCTGTCGATGGATGAGGTAGTCTCTCGAATGCGACGGTGCATCTAATCATCTTATTACATGCGATGATACAGTGAGACTTCGCTAACTGTCACTGTCATACACCTCAGAACACTACCTAATGTATGCCCACCTTTCAAGCCTCTGCACAGAGCATAGATACGTACTACATTGGCTTGCATGAACTCATACATCGATACCTTTTTCGCGAAAACACCTGCCATACTAGGAGCAATAGTCTGACATTAGTGACCCCGAGAACACGGGCATGCCGTCAATATAGGCGTCGGATACCCTATGATAGCGACGTTCCTTCCGCATCAGCATTTGCAGGGGTTGCTAACTTGACTAAACCATCGTGTTGTGCCTCGCATTTCAAAGCCTTCTCAGAGCATTCCAATGCCCATACCTCTATGTATAGCAATATGCTCGTCAACTCCTCCAGAAAGGTAAATCAAGGTGGAGCATACCTGGATCTTTTTCGTCATTGAGCGTGCGGGCAATAGATTCCGGAAGTGAGATTCTATCATGCACGGCCAGTCGATGACATGCTTAGGAGATGTTCAACAAAATGCTTACAGTGTCTGGATTCCATGTACGATTGCATCGAGAGTAATCCCCGATTCAGCGCCTGCTATACATCAAATTGGATGAGCCTACGAACGTTCAACCTAAGGCAGGAATTGAAAGGATTCACCATCGTTGCCAGTGGGTTCCGCGTTTAGCTTCGGAGTGCGCGACACATGGTGCTTGGTAGCTGCTGATAAGCGAGGATTAGTGCAAGAGTATATGGTATCATTCAAACAAGACCTACACGTGTGGGTGGATTTCAGGGTTATTGTGCTCATAACTGCATCTCGGACGCGGTGCAGTTCAGAATACGAAGAAAACCATAATTGCAGCAGAATACAACGGGCTACGTTGATCAGGAGGATGATTTCATCGTCCCGATCGCGTGTGCTCAGTTTCGCGTATAATGACAACAGATCCGGGATCCCTGTGCTATCCATTTAACTGATGTCTTTACCGGAGGTTGATCGGTATTTACCTTCACACCCGGCTTTGAATAAAGGGCAAGATGTGCGAACACATTCTAGTAGACGTTGAATACTGCTTGGTGTCACCTCGTTAACGGGCAGATCTATGGAACCGAGAAGCTCGATCAAGGCGAGATAAACGGACGCATCATTGGCAGAGATGAGGCGAAGCAATCGTTTGAGACAATCAAGAATGTCCAATAGCACTGTTTCGGAGTCGGGACTACTAGTAGATGACTGCGGCTTGACAACGTCGGCCAGCATTCGGACAGCTGTACTCCCCAGGGTGGCACATTCGTCAGCAACTGTTCCACTCAATAAGTGTTCCAGTCGATTATCAAAACAAGAATCACTTACGGTCCTCCCCGTATCGAAAGGCTTTGACATTATCAGTGAGAAGCTGTAGCAACTGTAACCGATGTTCAGACGAAACAGGTAAAGTTTTGTAATAGTCAGAGAGACGATCGTAAAGCGAGCGTTCCCCAGACGGCATGTTGCTGAGCTGAATTTGTAGGAATTTGATGATGCGTACACGGTCCGACGATAACGGTGTCGGAAAGAACTTGCCGGAACGCGAAGCAGGACGATTACGATCGAACATCGAGGCCTCCTTGGAATGAATGTTCGACAGAATGTCGACAGCCATGTATCCTATCGTCAATGTAGAGCTCACATCCTACAGCCCTGAACTGTTAATGTGTTCGCATTCGGAATTTATGATTTTGAGCTGCCCACCTCTTTGCTACAGTAATGCTCAAAGATAGGAAGTGCAATCTCCAGTGGAGCAAGCCGCAGAAACGGCTGGAGCACCCTATCTAGAAAGTCACCCTTCAACGTTTTGAATGCGGCGTCCAGGACCACAACGGGTTCTATATTTGGGGTCAAGCAAGTCAACTCGAAGTCTTCTCTGTCCTCCCACGAAGGGAGATTCTCAATTGCACTGAAGTCGGCTGTGTACTGTCTAACAAGTGATGGCACGGTGGAAAACCAATGAGCGCGCCACTTAGCACACGCTCGTTTCAACTTTCGCGCGCTCGTGCCATAATTCCACCTCCAGACACGGAATAGCCTATAAAGGGCACGGGACATCGGGGATTTGTAGGGAGAGTGAGGGTTAAGGGATGGAGTGATGGCCGTTCCGAAAGCGAAAGCCATCAGTAAGACCATTTGCCCAAGAACCATTCCAGCCACCACGGCGCTGGTCTTCCAGAATTGCAGTACCAGACCGACGAGAAAGAGCATCAAGGAAAGCTGCAGCAGAATGGGCATCAAGTTCACTATGTCCTCGACGTGCCATTGATCAAAGCCAGTGTGGCGAAGATACCAAGCAGTCGCGCTCTGGCGTGGATTCGATGGCACACCGGCTACATGGTTGTTAAGCCACTGTTTTATCGTGATCCCAATGGATGCGGCCGCAAGGCTTATGACTAGCGCCGAGAACCAGAGTGTATTCGTGGCGATGTCGAGATGGGAAACGGATTCCAGGTATCTCGCCGGGTATCCGGGTACCGTAGAATTGATGGAGCCCGAATTGACAGCAAAGCTGCTCAGCTGTGCTGATATGTGCATAAGGATCTGAGCGGTGGAATCTGTCGGCTGGGGCTGTAGCGTCTTGTAGAACTCGACATTGAACGCGGTGACAACTGCTGAAAACAGACCCGCCTAATCCCAAATTCGATAGCTTAATCAAAGCATGAATGCGCTGAAGTGGAAGACGCACGAAGAGAAGAAGAGTATCTATCCCTTCCTTCAGATCTTGTATGATGTCTTTCTCGTGCTTCCAGAGCTCTTCAGCGCACCGTGCCCATGAAGTAGATGTGTCGAGAGATGACCCCCGAACTTGGTTCTCTCGTGCATCTTCCGATTGCACGGTATCCTTGCGTACAGACGCGACGTTCGGCTTCTCCATGACGCGAGACCGATTTCGCTTCAGCTTGCCACCGCCATTGATATGCTGTTTCTCGCCGTCATCTGCAGTACGTTTGAGAATTCAGAAGTCAGAGCGGTTCCAGAATTTGGAACACTCGCATACCTGTCCACTTGACACCAGGGTCATAGCCGTCCATTCCAGCAGGCGCATGCTGAGCTTCTATATCAACTGTAGACTACAAGCTCCTGTCAACACTGTGAGGAATATGTGCTTTGAGCTCACACCTACCATAATGCGTGTTACAGGCTCACTGACAGGATGCGGCGAGGGAAGAAGGAGCGTGTAGATGCAAGGGGGCTCGCGTTGACGTATAGCAGAAAGCTAAACCATCTGATAAGAAAGAAAGCAAGACATCAAATTGTTCAGATAGTTGCGTGGTTCCTGCTAGCCGGCGAGAAGGCGTGCGGTTTCGCATGCAGGCACTTCCAGAAACACAATGGTCGTAGTTCCTCGCTTGCAATCCATCTCCATCATGGATCGTGCCTAGAATCTCAAAGCGTTACACGTGTGCGTATTATCCGAGACTAGCGTACAATAGCATGCTGCATCTCACCGCGCTGTTGGATATACGTCGCAGTGCCATATCGTACTTTGCAACATACTAACAATCGTCGACGACAAGCGGGCCTGCTGTATCATTTGCAAGGCGATACGTTTAAGCGAAGGTTCATAGATAAGCGAGGATTGATGGAGGAAACATCCTGCCCCGACCGGAAAAAAATATCACTCGAAAGCGATTCGGTCTCAGAGATACCGAAATGGCAAGTCTTCAAGTCGCTCAGAACAACACAAAGACATTCTGATGCACGACGACGGTATACCATGTTACCATCACACGCAAAGGCTACAATGTTTTAATGGACGTACCAGACGGGCGTTGTAACCAGGCCAAAAATTTACAGCAAATGAGATCGCAGGCCAAGATATGTACGGTGGTTGTTTGGCGTTGTGGGTCCACACTAAATTTGGTCGGAATGCGGCGTGACTGCCTGCCTTAACCATTTTAGACCGCTTATGACGACCCATTGCTTGCTTGTGTTCTTTATCACCAACATTCAGCTGATATCTAACATTTTCAGCTATCTAGAGGTCACAAGGAACAAGAAGGATGCTTTGTGGCACCGTGGCACGGCAAAGCTGAGCTCTGCCCTGGAAGTTTCTCGACTTGTTATTTCGTACTACTATTCCCTCGAACTTCTGGTGATCAATGATCATCACCATCAGCATTCACAACCACTACTTAGAAGGCGGAATTTCGGTCAACTAATATGGAAAGTATGATCGATATGCATCCGTCCCCGGCATACCCTATATCCTTGTCGGACCATGGTCTGCTGAGCATCAGAAAATAACTTCTCGGAACCTCGATTTCTACAAGCTACGGTCTCCCGTAGAGTTGCTCTGGGACCACTTTTCTTGAAGACAGTAAACCACGCGCCTCGTGTGAACGGTGGCAAGATGCAATTCGATACCTGGGAAAGTAAAGCCCACATACACTCTGAGCGCGAAAAGGCAATTATAGAGCATTTGAACTTGAAGCTGTGGATTATTGCATTCTCTCCGGCAACTCATACCATTCTCTAATCATTTTCTGTTCAGAACCGTCATATGTGATGTACACAAGCATTTCTAGTAGTCGAATTCGCAATTGAGAGATGCGACCTGGATGTGACCTGAATTCAACCACGATCGGTCAGCCTCATTAGTCTTCAAGGTCAACCTCCTCGCGTTCTAGCTATATCTCTTTTTCCCCTCACCACAGACATATTCCCTAGTGCAATACCTTCTCTCATCATGCCTGGACTACTTCGCATCTCACACTTATTCTCACGCGCTTTGATCGCTAACAGCCTCCACAACGCTCAGGCGGTATCTCTCATACTGTGCGACCTCCTTCCTCTCAATGGATTCTGTACCAGAGTGCCGGATCAGATGGTATGTTATCTGCGCTGACATCGGTGCAATTCGACGCGCTTTATTTTACACATCTCCTGCCAGAAACGTCTATCCGACAACATCCAGGATATTCTCTTTCGCAGGAGTTTGAACGCGGCCTGCAAGTACGCCTGGAATGCGATAAACGCGCAATATACCCAGCGCAGACATGAAGAGCGCATTGCCTTCCTCGAGGACCGGGTCAGCGCGCTCTCTACTTCCCGAGTCGCTCTCAACCTGACACTGGACAACATGCGCACTGCACTGGCAAATGGGAGAGATGAGTACGCTGTCCTCGGGACAGCCATCGTGGAACTTCAGGGCGAGAAGGCAGAGGTTGACACGCGCCTCGAAGAGGCACGGCTGACTATCAAGAGCGAAAACGCGCGTTGCCTTCAGCTAGAGAACGCAGTCGCTCATCTGAATCAAGAGCTCCAGCTTACTCGTGGGGTGTTATCTACGGAGCGCACTCGCTGCAAGGGCCTGGAAACGTCCGTACTCGCACTTGAAGGATCTCGCCAACAATTGCTGGGACATCAGGCGGTCCATGCAGACAAGTATCGCGTGGCACAAGAGCAGCTCTCTGCGGTTCTATTTCAAGTGGATGAACTACTCAGGGGAAAGGTTTTGCTCTCAGCCTCTCTCCAGGCGTCCCAGAGTCTAGCCGAGGACATGCACGTTGAGGTAAAGACTCTTCGGGATTCGCGCGAGGCCACCGAGAAGACGCTTGCAAAAGCAATTCTTTCTATATCCGAATTCGAACGGATCGTCAGTGATTTGCGGGAATCTGCCGATGTGTGTAGCACTCAGCTGAAGGTCACCGAAGTTGAACTGCTTCTCGAGCGGGAGAAGCTACAGATCGCCCTCGACAGTGTCGATGCACTTAGGGCTGAATGTGAGGTCCACAAAAGCAACTACCTGTATGCCATGGAGGACCTAGAAGATGAGAGAAAGGCTCTGTCTACCGCTGAGTCCGCTATCACCCAGGAGCGTGCGGCCAAGGAGCAACTCATCCGTGACATCGCGGCTGTCCGTGAGGAGAATGCTAGGATCGTTGCGGATGGACGTCGTCGTGAGAACGATCTTCGCGCTGAACTGGAGGAAGAGCGTCGGCAACGCACAGAGACGGACAAGGCACTCGCGGAAGAACATCAACGGCGAGTCGGGGAGGACAAGGCAGTCTTTGAGCTCGGGGAGCATCTCTCAGTCATGACGCAGGAGAACGATGGCCTCCGCAAGGAACGCATTCAAGTGCACGATGAGCTGCACAAAGAGCAGACCTCTGATCAGCACTATCTCAGCGAGATCGGTAGCCTGAAGACGGAACTCAGCCAGACAAAGGAGGAACACAATGCCACAGTCGACAGGCTACACGCGTTCGAGGATGCATCTCAAGCTCGTTGGGAGGAGGCCATGGAGGAGAACGACCAGCTCATGAAGGATAAGAGCATGCTCCAGCAGACAGTGCGCCATCTCATCGAAAGCAAGGAATCTTCCGTCAAACGCATCAACGAGCTGGAGTACACCATCGTGCAGACCAATAAGCAGCTCGACAAGACGACGAAGGGGCTGGCCGAGTCCCAAAAAGTGTGTGTGGCGGTAACAGCGCAGATGCAAGTAATGGCTCAGGAGAACACGGACCTCAGAGCATCGATGAACATGATGAGCGGATCTGCTGCCTCACTGCAGGAGGCTCGTCGCACGAACAAGTCAATGTCGGAAGAGTTAGCCATCTGCAGGTGCCGTAAGGCGCTGAAGAACATCACGAAGGCGAATACGGAAGAGCTGGAGAATGAACCAGCTAGCCAAGCTGAGCACAGCAGGGAGTATGTGAAGCCTGCTCCGGCAACGCGCCGGACTAGCTTCTTCTGGTACTAAGCAAGTAGCCCTCCCACCGAGCAGCGCTGAAGCCAGCTGGCCTTGACCTTGGGTATCAGAGTCAACTCCTTATAAAACTGCCTGTGGATGAGGTATTCTGACGGTGATCCATGGGGAGTTCGCTCTCGTCAAAGATGCGGTTGGACAACACCGACACAGTAAGTCGTCATCATCGTTGCTGTGTAGGTGTTGTTGATAGTAAACGCTGCAGGTCGCACGATCGAAGCGCCTGCTGACTGATGCCTGGGCACTACGCGGCTTTCAGTCGGTGAGGACTACCAGTCCTACGTCGTGGTGGTGAGATCTTTGGGAGTGGGAGTAAGAATGGGGGGTGTAGCTCGAGCCGGAGCATCGTCTGCCTTTGGAATCTGACATTTGTTTGTTTCTCTCTTTCCAGGTATCTCGTCTCGGTATTGCATTCGGTTTTGTTCTCTGCTATGTCTGTGGTTCTCGTAAAGCTATTGCAGTGTGTCTGCAAGAACGTGCGGCCAAGATAGGTCCGTCCACATTATCGAAAATGCGAGATGTGAACTCGCGCAAGTGTTGAAAAGTGTCCATGAGACGAAGGATGCACCGCCGCAGGTGCTGGTAAGCAAGTCGTTGAAATAGCGATGGGAAACATGTCGGTGTCTAGCATAGGTTCCTGATGCACCGCAGCGGCTGCTCATGCAACCGTTACCTATTCTGAATGGAGTGTCCTCAAGCGCATTGCAACAACTTCCACGTCTGCATTTTAGACTGTTCAGCTAATATGCGGATACATCATTACGCACTTGTACAGATCCATCGCTGAAATGAGATAAAATACTTCGATAAACAAGACTTAAAAGCCCACACCGCGGGTACTCTTCTTTTGTTTCTTTCTTTTCGAGCTCGTACCTGTCCCAGAGCCGCAGCCGTCATCGCCTTCCTCCCAGATTTCCCGCTTCTGAGAGGTAAGTAGCTTCATGAGCTTCTTTTTCTCTGCGTTCTGCCGCGGATCCTCATAAGTGACCCGGACGCTTTTGTCTTCTGGGCGCCCGCTAGGCCGGATCTCTGCGCTGATTGCAGGGTTTGGCCTGTCTGCCTGAAGGGGTACAGGTAGGACCTCTGGGTCGACTTGCAGAGGAAGTTCCAATCTAGATCCGGACTTTGAGAACATTAGCGAGAAAGCAGTAACGCCAGGACGTTGAAGCTTACAGCTGTCCGGGTAGGTGGTCGTGACCGCTTGCATCCGGTCGGGTTGCCTGTGTCAGAACCTTCGTCCTCTGTTGACAGTCGCTTGCCAAGCAGTGAGGTTACATTTTTCTGCAGAACCTTTGCTGTGTCGACGGACATTTTACTAGGCGATGGTGGCGCACTTCCAGAGCCAGGAAGCAGTTTCACGGGCGACGGCGACTCCGACGACGGAACACGGTCTGCTTGTATATTCGTCGTGAGCTGTGCCAGCGACGACTGTCGACTATCCGCGACGAGAATACGCTCGGACGGGAGGCCAGGTTCTGTCTCAGTCTCGTCGGTGAAGGTCGTGGCTTGGCTGAGAGGAATCGCCGTCACGGCGGAGGATTGTCGCTTGAGAGGTTCACTCAGCAGTGCGTTTGGCAGCCCGAAGACAGCACGATCCTCTGCCTCGACTTCGTTTTCGTGGTCGATTGAACCAGGTTTTGATTCTTGCATTGCCTTCCGTTCCTGATCCGTGCCCGAAGGTAATTCTGGCACGAAGTGAGGAACGTGTATGTAGATGATGAGCGATGTCAATAGTTACCGTTGGTGATGTCTTTGATGATAGGATCTGTGGCCCTCTGCTTGCCTTTCGCCCTACGGCTCACATTCACATCTACGTCCGTGGGTGTCTCTCTGTTATTGTCAGGCTTGTCCTCTACAGTCGCGGGGGCTATCACCCCTACCGTCGCGAGTTCGCACAACCAATTCATATCGACAACAGGGATGCCCCACTGGCGCGCCTTGTCCGCCTTTGCTCCGGTGCCTGAGGGACAAAGCAAATGTGTTGACTGACGGGAAAGGCTGGGCGCCACGTTTGCACCTGGCACGAGGGGTCAGCAGGAGCGGTTTGAGACGCGACGTGACAGATAACGTACCAATAGCACGAGCGAGGCGGCCGATCCAGCATACTTCTGACTGATCTAGACCAGAGTAGCTGATGCTCAAGTGCTCCGCCCCTACAGAGTTGCTTCAGCGCCTTTAAACCTCATCTCACACTCCACTGACTCACCAAGGACAGGCAGCTTGACTTTCAGCGGTGTGAAGGCGACATGCTCCTCCGGCGGACATATCCGCTCGTCGAAGATGCAACGTTCTAGCCAGCACTCAGTCCGGTACTTCGTGCGCTCCATTTCGTCCATCTCCGTTTGGTACAAGGAAGTGCCGCTGCATATCCATCCGCGTCAGCGTGCCAGCACTCAGCAGGCAGTATGCACGGACCTGACTAGCCGCACGATGATGAAGTCCACTTCTCCATCATCGTCATCCGAGACGACGCGACCACCACAATCCTCCACTGCCGTTTTAACCGTCGTCCCTCTAGCCTCTCCCAATGCTCGGAACCTCAGACCAGCGAACAAGGCCGACGACCTGCTCGCCTCTGGCGACATTGTCTCGTCATGCATTCTTCCCTTGCCCTTTTCGGCGGCACTGAGCCATCGACGAGAATCGATGGATTCTGTCTGGGACTGAAGAGCTGACGAATGAGTGAGATACGAGGACGACCGCCTCGGAGTAACAGAACGTCCGAAGGGCTGGCGCGGAGCAGCCTTGTCGTTTGCTACAGGAGCGAAGGACTCGGTCCGCTTTAATGTCGACAGAACACTGGCAGGCTGGCCGCCGTCGGCACCGACGGATCTCCTCATCGCATTTCGTCGCACCTTGCTCCTTGTCGGCGACGCCTCCCGCGCGTGGGCCTTGCTGCCATTCTCGCCCTGGGCAGCGACCGACTGAGACTTGGACGGGCTGCGGATGAGCTTGCCGCTCATCACCTCGAAGCCGCGCGGTTTCAGGATGCTACCCCACATCTCCAGCATCTCAGCTGGTACGCGTCGCACGGACACAACTTCTTCTTCGTCGTTGGTTGCTCCGCTGAGGAGATCATGGGTAGCCGCTCTTGTCGACGAGATGTATGAGAGGGAGTCCTCTGGCACTGTGGAAGACGGAGGTGGGGGCGGGGTCGCGAGCCTGAGCTCTGCTCGACTGATCAGAATGCAGCACGAGCTGGAGAGTTTGAAGACTGCTTACCTTCATGTTGTACCCTTCGTGGAGGTGGGGGACTTGACACCTTGTATCTCTCTTCATCGAATTTACCTGTCGAACTGTCGGGACTCATACGAACGGAGGCGCACCAGCCTTCGCTCACGCACCTCCAAAGTCGAGCGAGTCCCAGAACCACTCCTCCCATACGACGTGGATGCTCGCTTCGCGCCGTTGGTTGAACTTCTCCGCATAACGCATCTTTTCTGTCGTCTCGTCGTTGCCACTGGCGCAGAGCAGGTGCGTCACTTTGACGGGGCGCTCGATGTTTTTGACGTATTTCCCGCCATTTTGAGTGACGAGCCGATTGATCTCCGTTCGCCGATGGATGTCTTCGATGCCCGATACACATACTGTGATGCCCGAAAAAGCCGGCAGGCGATGTTGAATCTCACTCTGTTGCGAAAAGCCAAGTCAGACGGTGTGGAAGAAGACTGGCTAAATGAATACTTGCCTCCTTGAAGTCCACATCGTCGCCTTTGAGCCAGACCTTATGGCTCTCAATGACCCATGAGGGATGCATGATGGGAACCTTGTTCTCCAGAGCGCACTGATGACATCTCATGAAGCAGGGAGAATTGCACCAAGAGATTGACATCTTACCCTATATTTGGCGCTCCCGGGTTCCAACGCTAGGAGATGAGTGACCTTGTCTGTGAGGTCGTTCGAAGATGTCGCCCCCAACTCAATTGCCATCTTGAATAGGGTTGTCTGCACAGAATTGTCAGCGTTCATGGATGTATAACGAGCGGGAGATCAAGGTTATATGGACCCTAAACATCGAAAGCGGATGATGTAACGTTCACGAAGGCTATTTTATTCGGATGATTTCCGCGACGTCGATTGTAGCAGATGTTCCTCCCGCCCCTGCGTGGAATACGGGTGGAGGTTCGGACGTACCATATCTCACCTTGTCATCGACACCCGTAGCACAGAGAACAACATTCCGGAACGGACGCGGACATAGGTCTATGGCACTGGTATCCTGGTCCGAATCAACTCCCCATCCTGGCAAATGCGTTTCTTGATCAATATCCTGACTCTTCGATCCGCGTGATGCTGGGGCAGCAGGCCTCAGTTTCACGTTAGGTACCTGTTGAATGTGAGAGGAGCCGAATATCGTCGGAGGTCATACAACGGACCTTGCTAGACTTGTTGCTTCGCCTGTGGGCCATTTCCAGTCCTTTCAAGTGACTCCGGATTCGTGAAATGTCCGAACAAGAAGACGAGATAAGGAATGAGAGACAGGCAATTCGAGGTGTCGCCTGGGTGTCAGTGTCGGAGACGTAGGCAGCGCGAGACGCGAGGCCCAAGGACGCGACGCGAGCAGTGTTCAACGCGAGCGTGACGTGACGGTCTATGGTGACCGGTCGTGTCAAGTGGCGTCACATGGGCCTCTACGTGCGAGGTGGCGCTGGCAGGACTGAACTAAGCGCTGCTTCACGTGGATCACACATCTTATTGCAAGCGTTTGAGGGTATAAGTTATGGGACCTGGTCAAGGAGAGAATTTGCGTGGACGACCGAAGTCAAATAACTTTACAGGACCTCAGGATGGAAGAAGATTTGCTCTCCGCTCGGCATCTCCCGCGACTACGCCACAGTTGCGATCTCTGGGCCTGCCCCTCACGTCGTTTCCGCCATGAAGCTTGCACCGACTCTTGCACCGGCACTGAGAACGTGCGCCAGCAGCCGTCAAATTGCGCGCCAATGTGCTCGCTCTTTCGCAACAGCCACTCCTCCCGCTCATCCTGAGCCCGCACAACCCGAGCCAAATACCCATTTCCGCATAACTCTCCGCCGATCCGCTATCGGCCTCCCATCTCGCATCAAAGGCACTCTTGTCGCGCTTGGTCTCCACAGGAGAATGCATACCGTGTATCATAAACATTGCCCAGACATTGCGGGCAAAATTCTCGCCGTGAAGGAATTGGTGCAAGTGGAGAACGTCCCTGCGTCTGCGGTGAGGACGAAGACGGAGCAGAGGCGGGAGAGGAGAGCACCTCGTGGATATTCGATAGTGGGGTCGAAGCTCCAGGATGCAGACCTGTAATGTTTGCTAAGTGAGCGCACTATTATGGCCAATGGCTTTCGTTTTGACACATATCACGCCTCCTCAGCGCACGCCTAAATTCATTCATATCCGGCATCATATCATTGACATCCAGGGAATATAGCTTTCGACTTTCATGTTTCTTTTCTGCGATCCCGATCTGATCATCATGTCTATCGTTCACACTGGGTGCCTTCATCGTTGCGGTTCGCACTCATCTGCAAAGACTGACTCTCTCCTGGTGTCTTTCTCGAAGCCATGTCCTGTCAGATGGCCCGTGAACTAAAAGTTGCATCATTTTGGTCTCTGTCACAAAACCCACATTTATATCTGCAATCACATATGGGTCGTATCGCGCGTGCATACCTGCGAGACAGTATATAGATCTCAGTGGTTCAGCTTGGCATATTTTTATCGAATCGATCGTACTGTACATACTGCAAGTGCGGCGTCTAACGGTATCTACATATATTATAAGAGCACCGAACTTCCTCATGAGCACTATTCAGCGACCACACCGTGCCAGTCACTACCATGTCTGAGCCATACCTCCCATATGACTTGGTTTACGCGACACTCGAGCACGCATGGTTATCTTGCAGGGATGTTACCGCCCGATGGACACTCTATGAAACGTTGTCCTGCGTGAGCAAGCAATGTCGCGATGATATCTTCTCTGTCATTCTGCGCCATGTAATTCTGGAGACTACTCTAGATTGCACGCGATACAGTAACATCAGGAGGTATCATTTCGACGACTACGCAGAGAATGCTCCTCAGTCTCACATAATCATCAATGTCGATCTCCTTAAGCTGGCCAATACCGCGTCCCGTCCAGAAGATCTCAATGATGAGGCGGCAGAGGCTCAACCAGAGAATACCTACAAGCGCATCATCGATTTGGCTCCTCGGTGCGAATCGGTCACAGCTGTCTTCCCCAACAACTCTCCTGGGCATATAGATATTGAATCGTTGCTGTCCTTTCTGCGATTCATACATCAAATCCAGACGGTTACATTCGTCTCCATATCATCAAATTGGCCCACTTACCTGCACCTCGCAATACCTCTTCAGGTTATCCCTAGCCCCGCGATACGACATCTACGCCTCGGGCAATATCCTCTATCGCAGGATTTGCCCGCAGGTGCTAGCGATCATGACCGTCTGCACACTTTTCCCCGAAATTTCCTTGCAAACTTTCCAAACTTACGCGTCCTCCACATCGAGACACCAACCCTATTAAAAGACCTGCTTTTTCTCGACACCCTCGAGGTGTTAGTACTGGATGCGTGTCCGTGGCACGCACCGTTGCCTTCCATGGTTGGTTGGAACGTGGGCTCTGCTCTCAAGAGGGGGTTGTTAAGGAGGCCCGACGACACGTTCCCTGCACGTCGGATCGTCGTGCGCACAGGTCCAGCACTTCCGCCAGGCTGGACGCAGGTGCAGGCTGCGTGTGTTTCACACGGCGTAATTCTTGAGCGCAGAATTGCCTTCAGGAGTTGGGGAAGGACTGGAACATGAGTCGTCTTGGGCTAGTCACACATTGCTCCTCTCAAACTGCAAGTACGTTCTCATTTATCTCAAGTACTTTGTCGGTAATTGACCGGCATACATAGGTTGACGTTTCAGCAACTACTACGAAGTCATCTATGCGCACACTTTGATCAGTATGCATGAAGGCAGCTCTCGCATTCCGTCATGAACACAATAAACCTCAATTCTCAATTCTGTGTCTCACGTATCATGGATACAGTATGCAATCCCTCAGTCGACAAACGAGCCGCAGCTGAGACCGCTTGATCTCCTCTTTCCATGTAATACTAGCGCCAATCGTCTTCACTTGCCACTTCGCGGAGAAATTTGCCTTTCGCCCTTCCTTCGACTCCACTCAAAGACACCACGCTCCTTCGGAGTATCGTCAGCGCCGTTGACCCACCGTACGCTCCTTTCCGCCCTGGTGCTTGGCTGATTCCCACTTCCACCGCTGCTGACCCCGGCGTCCTGAATTTATGATTCTGTACACTATCTATTCTGGTCGTGATGCTCCACTATGACACCATCGATTGCCCATGATAATCGCGAACTCAAAGACTAAGGGAATTGGATCCCGAAACCCAGTTTTGAAGACCACAAGACCACTCCAGATAAGATCAGAGAATAAGCCGCTGATCTTGTCTGCATCGCGGCGGTGTGCCATTGTGTGCTACAGCGCTTACACCCCCAGACATGGGCCCGTTCTTGACCTTGTAATATGCCATCAAAATCCGGTCTAGTACGGTAGAATTCCTCTATATGACCTGGCAACTGAATGGCTCCGACAGTTATGCACGACGACAAAGCGACGACTGAAACCATCGCGGATGCGTTATTGAAATTAATCCTGAATGAATCAGCCTGATGAATGATGACCATTATAAATCCGGGTAGCGTGTTAAATGCAACTGTTCACCACAAATATAGATGGAAAGAAAGAAAAACTCTTGTATCTGGTTTAAAACGAGTCTCAAAAAACCTGGCAGCGAACTCCATTCCGCGGACAAAAGTTGACGCAAACGAGCATGAAAAGTGAAATTCAGGACGCTGCCACCAATTTCGACTACCAATACTTATAGAGCTGGAGTCAACGATATCCTGGACCGTCGGTGCCCCAGGCTGGTGGAAACTCTGGTACCGCCGGCGGCGTGAGTCGCGAGCGGCTCATCCGAGAGAGAGTCCGCGGCTGTACAGGATACACATTCACGCAAGAATAATTCATCAAACATGAGCTTTGCGCTGAGTGTAATATTATTGCCGTGAGTCATCGTTCATAAATCACAGAAGTTTGAACGTTTCTGCAGCTGGACGTCGGCGAATGAGTTTAGTAGCCACTCGCCAGAGTTCAGCAGGAGTGACGTGACGCAGCGACGCAATCATGTGACCGTGACTCGACGCGCTTGTGACTTCAGTCGGCTGCCTTGTGTAATCCTTATTCCTTATCCAATGTCTCCGATTTCTCTAATCTTATGTACACGAAACAAACAACAATAAAGAGTACATACAAACTAGCAAAAGGCTTGGAGCCATCTAACAGAAAAATCATCTAACGATGGGCGCGAACGTCTCACCGCGACCCTCGCTCCGACACCATGCCATAGGAGCCGCTTGCGATAGGCACGACCACGACCCGGACACTTGCCTTGCTAATGTCTTTGCTGATGCGCGACCGCCCACGCTCAGGCTCCACGTCATCGTGTCTTCGGGATGCCCTGCGTCTCCCCTTGTGTCCAACATCGGGCCGAATCATGCAAAGGAACACCATGGCGGTGAACGCGAAGCTGCCGGCGGCGACGAAGATCGCCTTGGGGTAGGTGGCGACCGTCGAGCTGTAGACCAGGCCGAACAGCAGGGGCTGGAATCGACGGCGTCATCAGTATGTGGCCAGGCTGCAGATCTATGTCGAGAACTCACGCCGAGAATCATCTGTCCCACAGTCCTCAACATTGCGAACAGGCCAAACAGCTTGCCACGGTTGTCGTCGCCATTCGCCTGCATCACGCAGAGCGCCAAGCTGTGCAGCGCCGGGTCCACGCCTGCGCCAAAGCTACTCAGCGAGGTGTACAGGTAGAACATGGCTGCGCTCGAGTCGGGCGACGACAGCGAGACGAGGATGTGCGAGAACATGTCGACCGCTAGCGATGCGCGTAGGAGCGCGAAGTCGAACCTCATCTCGGCGGCGATCTGTGCGGGTGTCTGCGGCGGCTTCTTCCCTGGTACAGCGGGGGCGGTGGGCATTACGGAGGCCTTGGGCTTGGGCTTGAGGCTCACAACGATCACTGAAAACACGAAGTGAGAAGAGGAACGGAAGTGCCCAAGACGAACTCGGACTTACGGGGCATTAACACCAAGAGATACAGAGTCCGAGCGGCACCCATGGTAGAAATGTAATAGCTTAGCTGAATACACGAGTCAGGCGAGCGGTTTCCTGCAGGGTAGTTGATCATACCTGTTCTGCTCCCCAACCGTATATGTGTTCAGCGTACAGATACTTGATTTGAAAGATTCCCTGGTGACCACAGCATGTTTGACTACCCGCTAAATTGCAAGGAACTGAGGAACTTACAGTCGACAAAGCGTACACGAGCAATGCTGACGCCATCCAAGTCAGCCTCCAGTCCTTCTTGGTAGCACCACTGACGGAGTGGATCGTTCTAGGTGCAAGCAACGCGAACGGGCCCAAGAAGCCTGATACCAACCCATGTTTGCCTCCCGCCGTCGAAGCCAATCCATCAGCATCTGACAACTCCTCAGTATGCTGCGCGATAGCGCCCTCCTTTTTTGGCGGCTCAGGGAACACAAACAAGGCGAAGAGCAGGTTGATGAACGAGCAGAAGGCGCTCACGTAGAAGACCAACGTCACGGTTTGCGTCTGGCCATGCGTGCTCGAGCTTGGCGGCGCACCCATGAAAAGCGGGTGCCGGATGAGGAAAGCGCCAATCGTCGGGCCGATGGAAAGTCCAAAGAAAGACACGCCTGTGAACCGAGAGAAGATCTGCGCGCGCGAGCCGTCCGAGGTGCAGTCTGAGACGTATGCGTTGATCGCGGCCTGCAGCGTCTGCCAACCGCCGAGAAGACCCTCGATTGCGGGAGAGATGATCAGCAGCTTGTGCCCGTGTGCCGCGAAGATGCTGTGTGGAGTGGAGACCAGGATGAACATCAAGTCGCTGCAAAGTGACAGTGAGTGAGGACCGCGTAGGTAAACCCGAGCTACTGACGTCAGCAAGAGACCCAGAGTGGCCGCCGACAGCACGCGCGTACGACCATGCAGTTCACCGAAGTGGCCCCACCAGCCCGTCGTCAGAGCTGAGAGGACACCCATAGTGAACGTCATGATCATCTGCAAACGTGCCGCTCCAGATTGCACTGCAGGATCCTGCAGGCATCGCCTGGATGGAATTACTCGGGGATCCGGTTCGTCGTCGTCATCGTCGCTGGTGTTGGATGCAAAATAAATAGGCTGTTCTTGAGTGATACTAGTGAGGTCTACTGGCAGTCTACTGAGATGGTTGCCGCTTGAATCGATATCCATAAGAGGATTATATTGGTAGGTTGTAGTTAGGAGAACGCTGTCATTAGCGCCAGTATGATCGTAGACGTCGCGACCATAGATAGCATTGCAGGAGAGTTGAGTGAAGACTTCTACACGAGGACCAAGGGTCATGCCGCGCTGAATGTGATCCGTGAGCTCAACGACATGTCTCGTGAGTGGTCGAGCAAGGTACGTACCACAATAGATGCAGTGATGGAGAAGGGGACGAGCCTGCGGGTCCAAGCAATAATCAGAACGTGTTCTCGTCTCGGCTTGGATGTGCTAATGTGGTGGCTACATGTAGACCGCCCCGGGTGTCTTGAACTACACCTCTCAAACTTCGCAAGCCCACTGCTCCAGCATCTGCCATTCTGACAATGCTCACACACTTATATCCGCAAGCAACATTTCATATGCACTCAATGAATATTCAACCCCGCACACTCCTTTAAAAATGTTCGCCAAATACCCCCGGCCAGGCAACATCGGTCGAGTATCAGAAAGGACGTCACTGGCGCTGACGCGCGCTCGCAAGGAACGCTCGCTTCTATATCGCATCCGAGATGTCATGCGACCGAGCGCACTCACCAAAGAGGTCTCGGGCGATACCATTTTTTCTTGACTCTATGGGGTCCGCTGCCCAGTAGCGGCGCTCTTTCATCCCCAGCTGGTGTTATCGTTGCAGCGTGCTCGCGCGAGACCGTGTGACAGTTGTTGGCACGAGCGGCGGATCTGACTCTGGAGACGGAGGGAGTGAAGATGGAGATGGTGGAGGTGCCTACGGCATCGGTAGTCTGGTAGGTGTTGTCGCCGTCCGCCATGGCCGCTATGGGGAGGGATGAGGAGAGGCGGACATGCGGCAGCCTTTAGCCTGAGCGTGGTCGTCCCGAATCGCGGCCCAATTCCTGACTAACACCTAACAGTCGCCGGCATGAGATAACATGGCGCTAGCTATTCGTTCCGCGGTGCGAGCCAGTTCGCAACTCGATGGTGGCCCAATCGCCATGGATTGCAATTCATTCTTGTTACCTCGCTCAGCGGAGAGATTCCGAGAGAAGCAGCGGACAAATGCGTCAACAAAAGGGAAATGTGGCCCAAAGTGTGACCACGGCGCGCCGCTCAAGGATTGAATCTCATTCAATCCCCGACACGTCGGAGATTAAACATCTGGCGCGTGTTCGTGTGTCCAGTTTGATCACCGCCGCCGTAAGCCACTTAGCCGCCACACTGCTTATGACCGTCTCGCCATCGTCGACATCGCCGACATGGACATCGACGCTCACCAGGAACCCCCCAAATACAACCTTCAGCCAACAAATGCGCTCGCAGGACCCTCTACTACGCCTGAAATACCGATTGTCTACCTCCCTCCACCAGGTCTCTTTTCCCAGCGTCCACCGCCTGTGCGGAGTACTGACCTCGTTTATCTTGCTCATCCCATGGTGCAGGACCACCCAAGCCGCGTTCACACTTTACCTCTACAGAAGACCTTCTCACTCGATTCAACCTCCTCCCAGCGTACAACAAGTATGTTAGGCCGTACTCTGCTCCCGTGGAGCAGCCTACCTCGACAACCATCAACAAGGGCAAGGGCAAGGAGAAGGAACGGTCCGTGCCGCCTGGATCAACGCCCCCAATAGGAGCCGACGGTACAGAAGAGGAGGGAAAGGGAGAGAAGAAGGCCAAGAATACATACAGGCAGCTCATCAAAGGTCTTCCAGGTACGTGAAATGGCGGTCACTGGTGCCCGTTCGTGACCTCACCAGTCGGGCTGCAGGAAAGCATTCAATAAAGAAGGATGACTACCTCACGACGATGATACAAGTGCCGCCAAAGCAGAGAATAGCTATCAAACGGTTCGACTTGAGGACGCAGCGGGATGCATTTTCGGTCTCCCTGGAAGGCATCAAAGCTGTATGGATACCTTCACGCTATATATCTGGAGCAGTGCTGATGCACATTTTAGTGGAACATCGCCGCCCTCGTCGAGGAGTCACCGCAGGCGCGGGAGGATCGGAAGAAGCGGGTCCGTATTATCGTTCGTCCGATGTTTCCGTCTCACTCACACGGATTGAACTACGCAGAAAGAGCTCAGGAAATTTGCGAAGGCTCAAGGACAGGCCGCACTGGCGGCAATGGGTACACCCCGCGCCACAGGTCTGCCCGTGACACCCGCTACTATGGCTACCTCCATCTCCACTCCCACCGCTGCACACACGCCAGCACGAACCGGCACGCCTAAGCCCGCATCAGGCATGACGCGGACCACGGCGACTTCAATAGCATACCAGAGCGCGAACCCGGTCCAGCACCGAACGCGGACGCCTCTTGGGATTGGCACGCCACATTCCATAGGCACGCCTGCGGCCGGTACGCTCCCCACGCCAGGGCCTACGAACACATTTACACCCGCACGGAGCACGCCAGGGTCGACGCCTGCGCCCGTGGCGGGCCCAGACTCTGGAGTGGCAAAGCGCGGAGTTAAACGCGAGCGGGAATATTCGATGGATGGGGTGCAAATGGGCACGACTACAAATAGAATGAGTGGGCAGGCGCAGAGTATCGGCGTCAATGGTGGTGGAACGCCGAAGCCGGCGTCGGTGGCGGGCGCGAAGGCAGGTAATGCAGGAGTTCGGCCGCGACCGCTCAAAAAGCAGCGCATGGTGCGTATTGGCTATACTTGGAGTATTGTCTCGTGAGTAATATTCTCCGCAGGATGTGCAGGGGCAGTCAAGAGGAATGCCTTTGCAACAGCCTACGCCACATGGGTAGTGCTGATCCTTCCTCTTACGCGGACCGTCTTCCCTTTCCCATCTTGATCGTCAAACTCTCAAGGCGTATCCGATTTGCGCCATTCGCAACTATGTAAACACACTCCATCCCTGAGGGGATTCCTGGCTGCTCGGCAGCCGTGTACGTGTACACAAACCGCGCGACGGAGTCAGTGCGGCGGTGCTTTTCATATCAAGGCTCGTCTGCCTTCGCCTTCGAGGACTAGACTGCCACCTCTCATAGTCCGTGCATTTGTACACGGTTTCAGCAACGTTCCCAGTACACTCAGCCTGACTGATGTGCATTTCTTTCTCATTGTCTGGATCGACATGCGCGCACAGTTCGTCTGAGCATGCCGCGAAACCCGTACGGCGAGCGATCAGTGATTGTACATAGCTTGTTCCATTTATCCTGTCCTCCTCGATTCATCTGCAGTATATTGTCGCCACATTGGTCGTAGCTACGATCCATACACATCGCTTTTACTGTAGATTTGAATGATTATTCTTTTGCCTTGTATTTTTTCGCTTGAAGTTGGTGTGGCGGACAGATCTGCTTCGGATATACACCATCGTTTCTACGATGTTCAGGTAATTTCGAAAGATGACCTCTGAACTGATATCTTGATGTGCGCAACCGCATGTGTAGGCCTCGTCGTCTCGGAACAGCAACCGGCGGTCGCGTGGAATCTCGTGCCTGCTAATATGTTGGGCCACGCCGCCTTGACCTGCAACCATCATGTCTGATTTGTATCGCTCAGCGATGCAGGCACGCATCTCGAAACTGCCTGCCCTCCCGGCCGTTGATGATGAAGGGGACGAGGAGTCCGAGGCCGCGGATTCCTTGGGATCGTTATCCACTGGTGTTGGCCCTGCACCGATGTGAGTAATTACTTTCGGTTGGCGTATATATACTCGTCGTATGTCATGGTTGTAATGTGAAAAACTGTCGGAATGGCTTTAAAGAAGCCTACGGAGAGGGGAGTGACTGCCATGAATGCAAAGCGGGATTGGTCTGGAGAAGGATTGCCCTTTCCATGTGCAGACCGGCAGGCGTTGATGATGCAGACCTGTCATTCATCAAGCACCGCACCTCGTACTGACTGCTGTCTACAGGCCCTCTCGAACACCCAGATCCGCTCGCAAACGGGTCCCCAATGCCTCCTTCGCACCCATTTCCGCATCCAACTTCTTCGAGCAAGCCACCCAGGTCTCCGTGCCCGCCTCGGGGCTGGACGTGCGGGTGTATTATACACCGCCGAAGTTCGCAGATGGTACAGTGATGGTGTGCCATCACGGTGCGGGCATGTCGGCCCTGACGTTTGCGTGCGTCGCGAAGGAGGTGACGGATGTGAGCAAGGGAGAATGTGGCGTGCTTGCACTGGACTGCCGGGGACATGGCAAGTCCTCCGTTCTATGACACGCTGGCAGGCTTTAATTAAATATGCTGCGGCAGGTAAGACGACCCATATTACAGAGCCCGCACCGGACCAAGAGGACTTCTCTATCGACACCCTCGTGTCGGATCTTGTCAACACCATTGAAGTAATATTCTCAGATCGGGCCTCAGCACCTACTCTACTGGTGCGTTGCTATCTACACCATTAGATCGGCATTGCTGAAGTAAACACAGTTGGTGGGGCACAGTCTCGGTGGATCCGTTATTGTCCGTGCGTGTCCTATCCTCCAGGAGCGCCAGTACAGGATCACCGGTGTCGCCGTGCTCGACATCGTTGAAGGTTGGTGGGACACGTGCACTGAAGATGGCTGCATACTCAACGGTGTTGTAGAATTCACGCTCGAAGCATTGCCGATGATGCACAGTCTGCTGGATGCCCGTCCGGAAGGCTTCGACAGCCCGGAGGAGGCAATTGAATGGCAGTAAGCATCGGTGTCCTGCACACGGCAAGCTGATACCAACGGCTTCTATTGTAGTGTCCAAACGCACGTAATCCGCAATCCAGCCTCTGCCAGAGTCTCTGTGCCAGCGGTCATCACACCTGCGCCGCCCGACGCTCGTCCCGGCACTCCAGCTTATGTTTGGCGAGCACCGTTAAGGGCAACCGCGTCATATTGGACAAGTGCGCGTCCTTATGCATGGCACGGCTAATGCATACTGACAGTTGACTCGGTCTATTAGGCTGGTTCACAGGTCTTTCGAGCAAATTCCTTATAGCGCGTACCGCCCGCTTGCTCATTCTGGCCGGCACAGAGCGACTTGACAAGGAATTGATGATTGGCCAGATGCAAGGCAAGTTCCAGCTCGTCGTGATACCCGGAGTGGGTCATATGTTGCAAGAGGTCCGTACACTCCAGTTACCATCTGCCGGCTCTGACAAGGGCGATGTTACAGGATGACCCTACGAGGCTGGCCGAAGTGCTCGTTCAGTTCTGGAGGCGGAACGAACGGGTTATCGTAGGTGTAAAGAAAGTCGGAGAGCTGTAATGCAACGAAGAAACACATTATAGATAGAAGAGAAAGTCTAGTCATCACCAAAGCGCCGAAGCACTGTAGCAGCAACTGTACTGTATAACTATACCGAAGAACTAATACGCTACTTTTCTTCGTCAATCTTCTCCTCCTTACTCGCTCGTACGGGAAGCCCAGAGAGTTTCGACCGCAATGCCTGGTACTTGCGCCGCTGCGCAGCAGACACGCTCGGCTGCACCTTCTCCAACGCAGTGCGGAAGTCGGCAACCTCCACATGCACCCGCGTCTCCGGCTGAGCTCCTGCGCCCGCTGTGCTCTCCTCCATTGCATCCAACGCACCCAGAGTGCGCTTGAGCGCCATCACGCCCGCCTCCCTGACGAGAGCCGCGAGATCTGCACCGCTGTATCCCTCGCACCGCTCCCGCACCAGCATCTCGACTGCCAGTTTGGCATCGTCCCCGCCCAAAGGCACCTTGCGCGTCATAGTGCGTACGATCTCCGAACGCTCGTCAGGTAAGGGCAGGTCGACATACAGCAGCTTGTCAAGACGCCCTGGACGGCACATCGCGGGGTCGATCATGTCTGGCCGGTTCGTGGCGGCGATGACGTAGACGCTCTTGCGCGCATCGAGGCCGTCTAGCTCTGTGAGAAGAGTATTGACCACTCGTGCGGAGGACTCGGACTGTAGGAATCAGACGTGAGGAGGTGTAGAGCGAAGAGAAGGATGATCCCGAGTTACATACCAGACTGTCATCTCGACGCGGCACGAGCGCGTCCAGCTCGTCAAAGAAGATCACACAGGGTGCCGATGCGCGAGCTCGAGAGAAGACCTGTCTCACCGCTCTCTCGCTTTCGCCGACATACTAGAGAAGGTGCGCCCTGTGAGGTAATGATTCTCACTAGCTACGCGATGCGAGGCGTACCTTGTTCAGCAGCTCCGGACCCTTCACGCTGATGAAGTTCGCCCTCGACTCATTCGCCACTGCCTTCGCCAACAACGTCTTACCACATCCCGGCGGGCCCCACAACAGCACGCCGCATGCCGCCTGGATACCGACCGCTCTGAACAGCTCCGGCCTGCGAATCGGTTGCACAATCGCCATATGCAACTCCTCTCTTGTCGCGTGCAGCGCGCCAATGTCCGTCCACGTCACATCCGGCACGGTCGCAAAGCCCTCGCGTTTCGACGACGGCTGCACATGCTTCAGCGCGAGCATGAAGTCGGCGAAAGTGATGCAGAGCGGGACGAGCTGCGCCTCGGTGAGTGGGTCCGGGTGTGCGCGAAGGAAGTGCACGATGGAACTTGCGGTGGTATGTGCCGAAGCATCGAAGGTGGAGAAGGGGACTGGCTTAACCGGGATAGGTGGTGCGGGCTGCGCGTCGGACGTAGGCTGGGGAATATCGATCTGCATCAAGACATCACCGTCCGGATTGGGCGTGAGCTGCTCAATGCCATCTGAAAGAGTCAGAGTACCGTCTGAGATCTGCTTGAATATCCGCTTGACAGCGATGATACCGGCTGCACCAGTCAGTGCTGTGAGGTCAGCTCCAACGTAACCGGGCGTGGCCTTCGCAAGAGCGGTGTAGTCGAAGTCACCCTCTAGACGCAGCTTGGAACACAGAACACGGAGAATCCTGTCATCGCGATACGGTCAGGAAGTGGACGCATTTAACGTTCTGCACTATACTCACTGTGCACGAGCTTCATCATCGGGCACACCCATGCTGATCTCATGGTCGAAGCGGCCCGCTCGACGCAAGGCAGCGTCGAGGGAGTCCGGACGATTTGTCGCTCCGATTACAACTACAGCTTTATTGTCGGTTTTCTCCCACGACATATCTGCCAGAGCGCGGACTTAGTACCATTGACCTCCGAGTTGGTTCTGATTATCCAGAGCTTACCATCCATGCAAGTGAGGAATTGTGCGACAATCCGTCGCTCCATCTCTCGTTGAGCACTTTCACGTTTAGGCGTGATGGCATCAATCTCATCAATGAATAGTAGACAGGGAGCAACCCGCTGTTAGAATTCTTTCAGCGGAGCATAAAGTGACGGTCTTCGTTGGGTAACGCACCTTCGCCTCCTCGAAGGTATCTCGAAGTGTCTTTTCTGATTCGCCGGACATGCCGGATACGACGGACGGTGCAGATATGCTGATGAATGGCACCCCTAGCTCCTATGATCGATGTGAATAGACAGAAAATATCGTAAGTAGTAAGACATACCCCAGCAATAGCATGTGCGAGCAATGTCTTCCCACAACCTGGAGGACCGTGAAGCAATACACCTCTTGGTGGTTGGACGCCGGTATGAATGTAGATCTCCGGGTGACATAGCGGCATTGCGACCAGCTCCAGCATCTTCTCTATACATGCATCCACGCCGCCCAGATCCGAAAGCCGCGTTGACGGAGGGCTGTAGTCCTTCGCAGTACTGCCGGACTGACTTGACAGCTTCATCCGTTTATTGCTCTCCTCGCCAGCCGGCCGAGAGACACGGCCTCTACGCTTTCCACTGACAGAAACAGTAGACCGTACTTCCGTCGCAGGAGGACTTATTTCGCTCTCGACGAGCTGTGGGGTTGCCGCAGACGAGGATGTCTCGGTGTTTTCAACAGGTTGTACAGGCAAGGAGACGTCTTCGACTGAAGGCGTGTTAGAAGCAGGGGTGGGTGCCGATGAGTTGATATTAATCTTAGCACGCCTATGCGTTGACCACAATCCCTGCATGGACTTGTTCAATGCATTCGAGCCCTACCTGAGTGCTTGTTAGATAGGATGGCACAGAGCATTTTCCGAGGACGCACAGATATCTCCATTATGGACTATCCAGCATATAAATCTGATCTGATACTTGATTGTTTGATTGTAGTTGCGGCAGAGGTTGTCGAATCACAGCTGAGGACGATGTTGCTGTATGTACTATGGACCTCGGGATGATTTTCAGCGCCCAACGCACGTGATTTGTCTCTTAGGGTGTGACATTCTCACGTGGACGTGATCTGTGACAACATCCACCGTTCGATTGTCTCTGTCCGAGTATCTCATCGCATTGTACTTGCAATCAGTCCGTGCTTAATATATCAGTCATCCATTTCGTCATCTTGCCGGAATCGACGAGACATTTTGCACCTGGAGAAATGGCTCGAACCGCAGGCCCTGTGGCCCTCACTTCGGTGGCGGAACTTGCCATTTTGAGACAGGCTGTACGCGACACGTCAGTCCACCATCTTTTCCAGCCACAAGGTACCGAGGACACGTTGCTCAACAATCACATCGCGCAGCTGAACTTTGTGTGTGAGGCCTTTTCTTGAACCTGTGCAGCCAACATCGTTCAATAGCCTTGCCCATTTACCATGGCGAGGCATCCGAAGGTCGCACTCTCGCGCATCAAGTCTCTGACGTTCTACAAGGACTCCTATACAACTGCACGGAGAACACAACCACTCCCTCAGTTGATATGTATCGGAAAGCCTTGCAATGTCTACCAGCCAGAGGTGGTGCGGTGTACTAATGTTGGGGGCGAAGGCACAGACGTGGATTGGAAGGTGTGTTCCGACTCCCTGTTCGCGTGGACGGAACGATCGTGGCTCTCTAACAATCGTGCTCACAGTGTGAGGCTGATCTCCCTGAGGCTCTCCGTTTCGGCAGAGTTGAGGTATCGTGTGAGGGCTGGTCCGGACCTGGGGACCCCGACATCTTGAAAGGTAGGAATGGCGGGATCGTGTCGCTGCCTTCCTGACTCATTGTGAACTGACAGGCTCATGTTCTCTCGAATATCGCCTTGTCCAAGTACCAAATGCCCTGCGTGCAGGAGACGAGCCGCTCTTTAGGTCACGTTTCTCCAACTGGCTCGGATGTACGTGTGCAATCTCTCTGCGATGCCACAGACATCCATGCTGATGGTCTTCAAGATGCCTACAACAATCCATCCGCAGTCATCTTCACGATCATCTGGACAGCGTGTCTTCTCCTAATGCTCTACAGCGTCCTGAAGTCATGCTGGGGTAACCGATCCACAAGATCCGGAAATGCGAGTAGATCGTCAAGACCACGTCCTCCGGCGGGTGGTGGCGGCTTCGGCGGCGGCTGGTTCTCCGGCAACAACCCTCCAGACCATCGAGACCCTCCTCCGCCTTACACTAAACATGCGAGCTCGTCCTCTTCTGCCACTGGCGCGCAGAATGCTGGCATCCAGCCAGGCTTTTGGACAGGAGCGGCACTGGGCGGGCTGGGTACGTATCTCTTCAATCGCTCTCAGCGTGATTCCCAGCGCGACCGTCCCAGGCCGGTTCTGTATGACTGGGAGGATAGAGTGAATGTGCCCATCCAGCCCATCTACAGGCCGCCTCAGTCGTCGAGGTCGAGGTCGGACGACCGAGGTGAGGGTTCGTCGAACTTGGGATCTATGAGACGCAGTACAGGGATCGGAGGCTCGAATGTCAGATAAGAATACAAATGTTGATAACAGTATGCAACGTGACGACTGACCTGTATAGCACCGCCTTTCTTCCTTCATTGATCAATGACATACGGATTCAACAGCAGCAGGTTCTCCATCAAACCATGAACAGTCGCGGCTCTCTATAAAACAACTGGCTAACATGAACGATTTCTATAGCATGACTATCCTCTCACGGAATTACAACTATTCATACATGTAGTACAATGCAATCCGCGTTAAGCCGGACAGCCTCCACACATCCCATGCTCGCAGCCCCAACAGCTCGCGACGCCCACTCCCCAAGTCCTGAGGACGAGCGATACGACGCTCACCACTCCCTCTCCAAGCACGAATCCGCTAGCGATGATGATGAGGCGGATGCCGCCATGTTCTCGGCCCACACGCGTGTAGTAGACGTGCTCCGCGATGCCTCCGATCAGACGAGCGATTGAGAATGATGGCGTGTTCAGGAAGCCGATGGCGAAGGCGACGCCGGAAGGTATCCACTTCGTGTACCGTGCACCTTGTCGTTGTGCGTATGCTTTGAATGCAGCGATGAGCCCGAAGATCAGGGCGAATGCGATCATAAAGTCGCCGCTCTCGCGTGGTAGCTGGCCGTCGCCTACGAGCAAAGGAAGGGCTCAAGATGGTCCAGTCAGACGAATGGAGATTACCCACGTAGGAGGCGCGCAAGACCAAGCCAGACGTAGGCGGTTGGTGCAGGAAATGATGGCCCAGGGATCTGATAAGCACGGTTATAGAGGGTGTACGCGGTGGTCGTCACGATTATCGACAGGAACGATCCGATGACCTGCCCAAAGAACTGGGCGCGAGGTGATGCGTGGATGAGATGTCCTGTCTTGAGATCCTGCATGAGATCGCCCGCTCTGGGAAAAGGCGCATCTATAAGAAAAACTGGGAGTTTCATATTCGATGTCACTCACTGTTGAGCACCAGCCTCCGCGACGCCGCCTGCGATGATGTTCGCTACGATGTTCCCAGGTTGTATCCAGGCGAAGAACAGTTGACTGATCTTTCCAAGGCCGCTGACGGGATTGAGATCAGTTTCTCCCAGAGCACGCACCCTACATGAAGAGTCATCAGACTGACATATAAAGGGAATGGAAGCTTGCACGTACCCCAGAACGCTTAGCAGTCCACCCATGAGGAATCCAATCAAAGTTGCCCATGGCTTAATGCCCTCATTTCCAAAAACCAACCACACGAGCAGAGTCCCGCTGACGACGCTCCCACTCAGGCCCCAAATGACCCACTTTGTGGGTACTAGCCTGTCTGAAGTCTCTACTTCTTTATCTTCTTTTACGAACTGACCATCAGCAGCGTCGCCTTGCATGGTCGAGCTGAGCCACACTTTCGCGTATAGCACCTCCGCGATAACGGGCATGAGGGACACTAAGCTATCTGCACACATGATCGCGAGCGACACCCAGAGGATCCAACCTCGCGCGCCAGAGGTCATGTCTCCTACAGGACCGGGTGCCCAACCTGCATGCTTCGAAATTGGAGAGAGGATGGCCCAGCCCACGAGCATCCCCTGTGTTACAGTCGGTATAGCGAAGAGAGAGATGAGAACAGAATACGCACGAGGTTCATGCTCAATGTAGTCGGAAAGCCCATGATGATTCCTGTGCATGATGAGCTCCAGCGATCGGCCAGGTGCTCGCATCATACCTTGTCCGATGTACGACAGACTAGGCGTGAATGTCCAGAGCCATTCGCGTGCAAGGTAGTTCCCAAACAAAGGGATAGAGAAGACTACAGGAAAGAAATATGCCGCAAGCTATCAATGTCACGGTCAATACTCTAGTATGCTGATAGAAGAAATGCAGTCCTACGGTCATGACACCCGATGCAGAGAAGCTCCATATCAACGCGCCCCAACTTTCTTGGGTTGCGACTTCTGCATCACCTATGTCAGCAAGTTCTACATGTTCCACAGCTGCTATCGGTGTTGGGATGTCTTCTATTTCCTCGGTAGCAATCTCTTGGTATCCTCGCCGCTGCCGATGAGTGGCATTCGGGGGAGGAATTTGGTGAAGAACAGATATGAGCTGGGCAGTAGCAGTACCGGAAGGAAAAGCGAGTTGCTCCTCGATGATCTATGAGTGTTTACCGTCAGAGTAGCCCCAGTATTCACACTCATTCGATGTACCACTTGCTTGCGGATTGGAGGCGACAAAAACACACTAACACGTGCACATTAGCATGGATATAGACTTCTGAACGAAGGTGACGCACCCGAAGAAAGCGACCGCACAAGACCAGCCTACCGCGCCGAGCCAAGATATGTGCAAGGGAGGCACGCCGTCCCTTTCCTCATCCAACAAGCCGAGGGCAGGTAGAATACCAACAAATCCAGCAGCTAAAGGCATCTGAATATTGCATGCACATATGCTCAGTGACTGCCGTTATGTCGGACCGATTTCAATAACGTACTGTCCCTGTGGCCACGGCGATGGTTTGTAATACTACATTCTCTTGAGGGCTTATTGGTGTAAGGAAGATTTTGGAAACGAGGAAACCTATCAAGGCGGATTGCAGCGACATCCTGAGGAGTTATAGTCAACATCAATGCACCTCCGGCGAGCGCGCGATAGCAATGCTCATTAGGATAAGGCTGATGTACGCACATGCTGATCCATCCCGTCTGCAGCCCGAAGTACAGGTTCGTGAAGCAAAGAAGACATCCAATAAGCAGTCCGGCCAAAGCAACTCTGAGCTATTGCTGAAACGTTATATGTTTTCACAAGAGAGAAGTTGGTGACGGCATACAGTGAACTCTTCTTGGCCGCCATCGAGCTTGTCTGCGCCTTGGCGAGCCCGCCTGCTGAGCCGTCTGTTCAAGCTCTTAGTGTCATCTCCACTCAGATCACAGCAGAGGAGGATGAATACCTTATGCAAGCTGCGATGCTCATCGCCAGCCCAATGCACTCCCAGTAGTGGCACTGAATGAAAGTTGTGCAGATTGGTGTCGGCGGGCACGCATCTCGCTAAGACGAAGACGCGCGCGGTCACGTGGACTCCGTCTCTCAAACAAGCGCGCATCGGCTTCTGGGTCTGAGATCTGAGATCTGAGACTTCAAAGCTGCGCCAGCTTCACCTCTGGACCATCTTATTATGACCATAGGCACAAGATGCAACTTATTACCGGGCCTTATTTAAATGGTGTTCATGAGGGTGTGCCACTCTTAATTTCTTATTCACACGGGCTAGCGAGGCACAGGCTGCTATGGTGACTCTCTGACTCAACACAAGATTTGTGAGACCTGAAAATCTCTCCGCTTAAGATTGCGCCTTGCGATGCCTCATTCTCGCAATGAAAGATGGGTTGAAGTGTGAGCGATTACATCCATACCGTTCCATCAGTACGCATTACAGTATGTCAGTACGCAGCTAAGACATCATCATAATCATAAGGGGCCGTGAGTCCGTTCAATGGCGTAAGCTACGAAAGAAAAATACGTTACGTGAAGTCCATCTAACAGGTATAGCAGTCGATAGGAATCATGAGGTATCGCTAGGTACCAATGATGAAAGAGAAGTCGTTGCCGAAGCTTTTGTCAAAATCAAGAGTTCAGTCATGTAGATATCGTTGGTATTCCTTGCCTATCGTCAGTTTGGGCGAGATGGCATCGCCAAAGCCCAGTTACCACATCGCATCTTGATCATAATTTGAGTTTCGCCAGCTTGTCCCCGATCTCCTCCAGCTTGTTCCCGACCTTCTCCAATCAGTTCCTGATTGCCGCCAACTCGAAGGCATAGCAGGGAAGTGCATAGTAGTTCCCGTGATCGGATCCGTCTGCGTGGTCGTCACGCTCGAATGAGTATTGCTGTTCTCTGTCCTCGATGTCGTCTGAGACGTGATGGTGCCAGAGACTGGCGCCGACTGCTCATGCTCTGGTAAGTTAGCAGCTGGGAAGTCTGGCGACTGCTCGATAGGCGTCATCGGCGGCCTCGGAGGGTTGTACAGTGGCGACGCAGGGCGTGAGGAGTGGTTCGACCCCTCTCGATTAAAGACAGCTGAAATTGGCGGCGAGCTGACATCGCTTGGGTCCTGTTGCCTTCGTCTCCGTCCGTCCTCCGACACCGAACCTGAGCTGGAACTGCCTGTGAACCCTCGTGAATGCGTAGATGGTCCTGACGACGAGCCGGAACCAGTAAGAACGGACGCAGGATGAGAGCCGGGAGGACTGAGCGGTGAACGCGCGCCCAGGCGTGAGTGCAAGGACCCTTGCTCAGACATCACTGCGTCATGAGGATGGACAACCAATGGCTGCATAACGCGGTCAGATACTCATTCCCCATCAATTAGGCGATGTACGCACAACTCCAAAAGTCATCCTCCTTCCCTCACTGTCAGTCGCCAAGCTCCGCCAATTTCTCTGAGGACGAGGCGGCTCATCTTCCAAAGTCTCCGCAGAGCTACTCTGCGAGCCATCCGTCGCGTGCGAGTTGCGCCACGCGCGCGGGTTCGGCATGGCAGCGGCAGGACCAGGAGGAGAGTCAGGGCGAATGGAGGGAAGAACGTACGGCTGCGGCTGCGGCATCTGGATGCGCCCGCTTACGGCAGTAAATGGAGACGCTGGACGTGGGACAGGGAAATCCAGAACATCGGCTGCATCTTGAGGTATGTACATGCTTCCCCGGGACATTTCAGATTGAGAGTCTTCGTAAGACGGTGGGACGTCCGGTACAGGGAGAAACCCTCCAGGGAATCTGCTCCGAGGTGTCTCGCCATAGGATGTTGAGACGGAGTCCTGCTGCGAATCGCTCCCAGAGTCGCGGGGCCCGGATTGCGCCGACCTAAACGTTTCCACAGAAGCAGGAGCATCAGCATAGGAGGCCGCAGCGGAAGACTGCGCACTCGCGTACACTGTGTTCCCACTCACTCCGCTCCTTCCACTCGCACTAACTGACGAGGTTGGCCGGACTCCCCCGACTGTCAGGCCCAATCCCGGCACCGCTAGTCTTGTCTGTCTTCGACTAGCAGCCTCAGGACTAGTTGGTTCATGTGTCGGTAGAGGCGCCCAAGAAACCGGCCGTGAGTCCGGTCGTGAGCGTGAACCATTACGAGAATGGCGAGAAGGCGTGCGAGTGTAAGTATCCTCGCTGGGCGGGTCATTCTCGGTCTGGGTGGCGCTGTATGATTCCTTGGGAGAGCTTAATCGTTTGAACCAGCTCATGCGCGGTAGATTGGCCAGCTTCCCAAGTCCAGATGGGCTAGAACTGAAGCTGCTGCTCGGACCAGCCTCGTCCTCTGACGGCCCTGAGCTGCTGATATTGATGCGCTTCGGAGACAGTAGGTCCGGCGGATCGTAAGCATTTGGGTCGCCCAGCGTCGCAGAAGACTTCTCAGTGGATTTTTCAGAAGAGAATGAGACACCCTGCATGGTGGACGACATCGAAGGGCTCTCGGCATGATGCATGCCTCGTCCGAGATGGCGCTCGTCAAAGTTCGCGAAAGGCGCAGGCAGCGGAGGGGAATCAGACCTGCGTGGGGATGGCCGTACGATTCGCACACCGGGCGCAGACATCGGCGTCGGTGTATGCTGCTCGTCCCTCATTCGCGCAAGCAGCTCGCCACGGGGAATGATGGGTCCACCGAGTTTACGGTCCGAGTGGCGACTCGAGGGCGATCCAGATGTCAGCGCAGCAGAAGGTGGGTCCATGAGAGTGTCGCTACCCTGCGTCATATCGTTCGACTCGTCGTGTGTGTGCTGCCTGGTAAGGAACGGAGAACCTTCATCGCCGCTTCCGCGCGGGGATCCCTCGCCCGGACTGTCTCCGCGTACATTTTCATGCTCCTCCTCATGCGCCTCGTCCGGAGAAACGACCTGCCACTCCGTCCAGATGGGTGTCTTGCGGCGCGACGAACGACGCGACAGAAGCGTCGTCTCCCTGTTCCAAAAGCTCGATTCCTGCGGAGATGCCTCATCAGCAGGTCGGATATCGTGGTTGTACTTTCGCAATAGCAGCCAGACGAGCAAGGCAATGATCAGGAGAAGGGCGCCGATGATCGAACCAAGAACTGCACCCAGCACTTTGACCGAGATGCCACTGGAGTTTGCTAATGCGATAACTGTAGGTGATGATGAGGCAGATGAGGAGGCCGAAGAAGTGCGAGAGGACGCGGAGGTAGCAGTGGAGGATAGAAGTGTAGACGAAATTGAGGAAGATGAGGATATTATGATAGCAGTTGAAGAGGACGGCACAGATGACGACATAGATGTAGATGTTACAGCCGACGACAAGGCTGTGGACGCTGCAGTTGATGTGCTACTCGACACCGAGGACAGCGCCGTGGTAGGTGCAGTTGGAGGAACTAGAGACGGAGAGTGCGGTGATGCTGTTGACAGCGGTGTGCTCGTTGGTCCAGGCGATGTAAGCCCACCCCACGTCCAGTCGGAATTGAGAGGTATCTAATATGCATAATTAGTCCGCGACATTCTCCACCGTCCGGAACATGATTCAGAAGCAAACGAAATAGCGAGTTCAAACAATGTCCGCTCGGTCTGACAACAATGAACCCAAAACATCAGATGGTTCACGATGACGCGCATCTTAAAACGCTATCAAACCTCTAATCAGTCGGCCAGATATCGCCGGTCAGTCGATGGTCTGCGCATTTCACCGCCTCGATGATCACCCGTTCAAGGCGGCCTCGAGGTAGCGGCACACTATGTCACGACAACGATGGAGCACGGCTAGCAACTCCGCAGCTCTGCACCCGAGGAATGAACGCCGACTGCTGTGCAGATGCAGAAATGCGGCAGCACGTTTATACGCGTACATAATGAGTTGGCCGGCGCTTGTGCAAGAAGCGGCTTGTTACTTCCAGAAGATGGTAGCACAAGCTGCTTGCAGACGCAAGCTTCAGCTGTAATTTGAAACGCAATGAAGATAGAACGAAGAGCACACTCGCTGAAGAACAATAGATTATCCACTCTGCCATAACGACCCGCTGCCTATCGCAAAGCACCGTTCTCCCGGATTGGATATTTGAAGGGGGTAACACTTTCGAATGCAGAGGAGTCATCCACTCACACTTGGACCATAATATGTGAGAGGTAGCTGCAGCGTCGCAGATGAAGTAGACAAACTCCCGTCTGGTTCGGTGATAACGGTAGTGGAAAGTGTAAGCCAAGAAGGAAGCACTTGCGTCGGAGCAGTCATTACAGAGTAGCACAGTCAGTCTCAGCAGTAAGCGTCGTGATGTCGACAACGCGTACGCGTCAGCAAGGGTCGTGAGTGAACACCCTGGGAGGCGTCGCATCAGCCGAAACTTCGTGACACGGAAGGTGTGCCTTAACACTTACGAGCGAACACAGTCAGCCTATCCGCGCCCCCACAGAGATCTCAGGGAAGTCTAGCAGCAAGCCTGAGTAGCCAAGCGGGGACGGGAGGGGAGCCAGGGAAGACTGCACCGTGTACGACAGAGCAAGTGGAGAACAAGCCCGGGCGTCTGATGAGATTCGGAACGCGCTAAGTGGGCATCACGTGATGGCGATCAATAATTGCAAAGTCTTGGTCTGCAACGCTGTGGCCCATCATGTCCCATCATCAAATTGCACTTCCAGACAAATGGAGTTCGCAGAAGCCACACACTGGCTGAATAAAGGTCATGGTTCGAGCATGTATCGCTTCTCTGGGGGCTTGTCGGATTGTCTAATTGAAGATTTCTAACCTAGTCGGAAGCAAATTTTTGCTTCCGAATATCAAGTTCCAATTTGCACGCTTCAAAATCAGCAGACTGCGCTTCAGCGTTGGAATTACATGAATAAACGGGTATTTCGAGCGATCTCTCCATTGATGTGTTCATCGATGATCGTTACTCGCAGCATCAGCTCATCTTTCCGACCCATATGGGATTGTTGACAGCGACGGAAGCCGCCATCACTTTATCTCAGCTATCAACATCATATTCACGGATGACTGCATGACGCGGACGTGCTGGGTGTCATGGGTTAACACTGCAAATAATGTTGAAGCTTCTTCACGTACGTTTTAGATGTAGTCATTACTAGCCAACGGTGACCACAATTGACCTGCCTGCCTGTGAAGTATAACGCGTAGCATTGTGTCGATGTCATTGACAGCTTGGTGATATTAGGTCGTACAGGCCACATGAAGAATACGCAGGCGAAACCACGTTGCCCAGGTACTAGTACAGCGCGATTGACGCGTTTCATGCATTCACTGACTTGTACAACGGTAGGCGGCCAACAGTTAGAGGAAAAGACTTCATTGAACATGTTAGAACAGCGTCTGCACGCGATCGACGAGTCCACGCACAATGCTGTCGAGAGTCGAAACGTGTAAACGCAAAACGCAAATGCGCATGTCGTTAACTTTCCAATGTTGGGCCATGGCCATTGGCGTCAAAAACGTTAGTCAATGCATCATAGGCCTGATAGCCGACTGAAGTTGCAATGATATCAAGTCTGTTTATTCTCTTGACTCGCATTGTCACGAACATGTGTATGAATGGCGTGCAGACATCACTACGCTATCAAATTCAAATAAGCTATACGTGACTAGCGAAGAGAAGGTTCAGGAGCTCGCACTGTCCGACGTAATGATCTGGATTTTCATTTGCAATTTTGCGATGGTTACCATATGCCACGGTGAACCCGGCAACTTCTTGAGGTCAATCAACGGAGCTGCACAGCAGCCTAGACATGGGACTGCAAGTTGTGCATATAAGTGAATCTGAAGTGGTTTTTTTATGAAGCGAGCCTGAGCACGACCGCATTAATCGGGAGGTCATCAATAATCAATAGTCATCATGTGCAAATCTCTCATATGAGCAGTAGAAGCAGGTCATCCAATCTGCACCTGTTCAGGATCATTCAAACGATGCTGCCGGGTGTGTGACGGAGCGCAGAGGCAGAGAAGGCGAGGAACGTTTCACAGAAGTACAGCGCATTCTTATATACCTGCCTTATCTAGTCATGAATAGGTCTGAGCGCTTACCAAAGGTGGGACTTGTGGGGTGCGCGGTGCGCAGTGAGCCATGTTCCGGCTGAGAGCTCGCCGTCGCCTTCGACGGCCGCAACTCTACATGATATAGCACTATCGTCATCTATGGCCTCTGCAGCCCCTGTACTATCCGTAGCGGATAGGAATGATATACACAAGTCCTGCAAGACGCTAGAGGTCGTCGTGAATGTCCTGAACGATTACTGCGAGGCGGCAAATGCGATACTATCTTTGCAGAAGAAGCTAGCGCGAGCCCTGCGGGATGCATCATCCGTGAGATGTGTTGCTGAGATTCCAGGTGCGCATCAGTGTACATGATGCCAGCGACCTGCCTCATCGTGACCCAGCAAACGCGCTGAATGCCAGTGCGACTATCTTCGAGACTCTCTCCGATATTGACTCAAGATTCGTCAAACTGGCTGATAAGGAGTGCGATGGAATCAGTGCAGAGCTCAAGAAATGGTTTAAGAGGCTCGCTGTGAGTGACAACGCCTGTGATTTGCGTTCGACTGCTGATGTGCAGAATAGAAAGAGGAAAGAGCGCACGATGATCGCATAGCGAGCGCCAATGCCAAGATCAAGCAAGCCGGATTACAGTACGAGAAGAAATCCAAGAAGAATCCGCAAGGTGCAGCAGAGGAGCATACACGCTACATTAACCTTCTCAGTACACTCGGTCCCGAGATTAACAACGAGAAATAGTTAGTCTGCCGCGCATGTGAACCACATGGCCGTACACTTATCCTGTCGTTGCAGCAATCATGCGCTGCTAGTGACCCGGAAGCATAGCGGTACTATGCATACTCTGGCCGCGTGCCTATCGCGCGTCGCCGACGGCGAATGGTTGCGCTCCTGCGAAGGTGTGAGGCGCTTCTCTACTACAATCGGTCAACTCGGAGAATGGCGCACATATTGCGAGGCTGGGTGGTCTGGATCTGCACCCGCAGATCTTCCCAAAGCTGATGTGCCCCAAAATCAGTCTATTCGATCTATCCCTCCAGTGCAGACGAACGATGATGTTACACCGAATGCCGATAACAGCTCCAGAGAGCTGAAAGTACCTCTCGGAGATAGTCCTGCTCCAGAGTACTCGTCTCGCCATGCCTCTGAGCAAGACCTTGGAGCATCATCAAGAGCGATCACACCCTCTGGAGATTCACCTGCTGCATTGCCCCAGTATCTGGCTACGCCTGGTAGGAAGTCTCCGCCAAGGCTCACGGTTGGCAAGAATTTGAATGATTCAACCACTTCGCTGGCATCCTTAGCTTCGTTCCCATCGCCGCCGACTCACTTCCCACTTCCGCCCGTACCCAGAAGTCCCGTGTCTCAAGCAGATGTCATGAAAAGCGAATCATCTTCAGGCCACCGTCCGCTCGTTGATACTACGTTTCCCCGTGTTGCTGAATCGCCCGCACAGCTGACACCAACAGAAACATCTCATCAAGATCACTCACCGGCTACGTGGCATTCAGAATCGCCTGCTTCCGATATATCTCGCTTCCAAGTGCAGGACAACATGCGAGTCCACGAGACTTCCAGTGCGCATGCCTCAGTGAATGATCATCTAGTAAAGAACTCGGACCCGCCTGCAGCGAATGCCACTGCAAGTGAGACCATACTTCCCCCGGTTGTGGAAGCTCACGCACGTACGTCTCTACCGGAAGTGATAGATGATGAGGACCATGATGTCGATTTCGGCGTGAAGAAGGCCGTCGAGAATTTCCCAATGTTAAATGCCAAGAATCTAGACGCTTCGATCGCTCCACCAGTTCAGAGGAGCGATACAGGAAGGAGCAATGGGAGCGTGGTTGCTTCTCTCAGGGATCGCTACAATCGTCCGGTGCGTCGTTTATTCTACTCATCGTGACATGAGAGCGGTGCTTACTTCATTCGCGCTTCTAGGCGGAGTCTACGTCTCCAAAAAGGGAGGTTCCACGATTGCCGACCAGCGTCTCTCGCTTGGCTACCCAGTATGAGACAAGCGCAGTAGCTCCAACGTCCCCTTCGCCGCCACAGAATCGAAGCCGAGCCTCTACAGACATGACGCGCAGGATACCCCCTCCCGAGTCAAGCGTCCTCCCGAGCGCTGCTAAGCAAGTCGTCACGGGGCATGCACCAGCAGCTATCGTGGACGATATCGCGATCAGACGGCAGCGCATCGAAGAGCTCGAGGAGCTCGAGCTAAGGGAGCAGGAACTCGAGCTGCGTATGAAGGAGCGCGAGATCGGACGGAAGGCGAAGGAGCTCGAGGCGGAGCGCGCTCGACTGCTCTACACTCGCAGTCCGGACAGTGGCCACGGCAGCGATGCGACGCGGGGAGGTATCGTCAACAGACTGTCCAAGTACCCCCAACTGGGCTCGTTCCCTTCCCAACCTCCGTCGCGGGCACAGTATGTCGTGCATTCGTACAGCACGACTAATCTTCAGCCCCAGCCGACCTCGCCGCCCACGTCGAGTCAACAATCGTCTAGCCAGCCTTCATCTCCGCTCTTTCGTCCAACAGACCACGCACCCTATTGTGGCTGTGAAGCCTGTTCCACGTCAAAGTATAGGTCTCAGGAATCCTCGCTCGGCGCGGCTGACGTGCGACCACGTCAGCCCCCTATCATTGGAATCCGAGCGGAGAAGCCAAAGGGCTGGATCCGGAGGCTGAGTATGCCTGTAGGCAATGCTTTCTCCTTAGACTCGAAGAAAAATCTGGGCGGCGCTGGCGTTTGGGGTGGGTCGAGCTCCAGGACTAGCCTTGTCCTTCCTGGAGAAGACGGTGTGATGCTGCAGAAGACCATCACGGGCGGAATTAAGAATCGGAGCACGACAAACCTAGCACGCCGGTGATGATTCGTACTATTTATATCTATGTTTGCTGTATGACCTGCTTCCTTTATGGTGTGGTTGCCTCTGCTTCGTTATACCCATTTACGTTGACGTATTCGTTCCGATGACCATAATGATGGCGATGACATCGCTTCGCTACGGAGCCTACATGTACATTGTACATTCCTATATATCCCGAACTGTATAGCTCAACGCGAAGACGAGATTGTTCATCTTTTTGTGTTGATGAACACCGATATGCACAATAAACGTCGAGACGGGTTTCCGTTAGCGAATGACTCGGACGTGCAACAATGTGTTTCACTTTTGAAGCTTAAGCTTCATGCTTCATGCTTCATGGTTCGTGACGATCGGAGCTGAATCAGATCTCCGAGCGACCTTAACAATTATGAAGCTACCGATTCTCTGCTTCCCGAGCCCTGCTTGAACACCTTGCGTGTTGGTACCGTTTATTAACTGACGGAGGATCGGTGACATATGCGCCTAAGTTCGCAGAAGCGATGAGGCGGAAGCTCTCTAACAACCTTCCTTGTTCATACATTGGAGCTGAGCAGATGCATGGTGTTATATATCGGTGGCGATACTCTCCAACAAAGCGTCGTCTCTGTATGCTTGAGATGTTGCTAGGTGCTCAATGCACACATCGACTACGCGCAGGAAAACGGTAAGGTGCTGCTCTCGGAGGATAGGATAATTGTTGCATTCTCGCCGCTTGACTGCAGGAATCTTGCACTAAACTGTGACTCCATATAGACTTAGAAAAAGTCCGTGTAGCCGTTGAAAACTATGATACAGCTTCATCCGCTCGAAGTTCCGGAAAGTCCACCTATATGATACAGTACCAAACCAAGTCCACGAGAATGTGTACAGTCCGCTTGTCAAAGCTAGTCCAATCTTGTCCATCTTCTACTACACAAAAACTCGATGACCTGTCGACGCACTTTCCAAAGGCTCATTGAGATGCTTTAGAAGGTGTGGTTCAATAGGTCGTGTCCGTGGAACAGCCGGACGGCTGGAGCAGATGGGCGAGGAATCCTCGCACAAACGAGGTCGTACGCGCGCCCGTGCGCCACTTCCTCCCGTCATCTGTGTCGTCAAGATAATGACTCGTTCAACGTTTTCTCAGACAACATTTAGGCACTCACGCAAGGAGCAGTGGTTCTTGCCGGTGACCGCCCACCTGTAGCATCCTGCAGTACGGCAGCGTTGAGCGGGCATGTCGGATAGTGTTGAGAGTAAGAGGGCGAGTTGGTATTGATACTGCTTGACGAGGTGCGTTGTTGAGCGGTGCGGTGCGATGGTACTCTGCAGGTGTTGGGTAGTCCCTTATATACCTGGCGAACACCTCTCATCATCGCATCAGCCAGACGTCCATTTCTGGGCCGCTGTCGTTGCCGTCCATGCCCAAGGCAAGGACGGTAAGACAGCTCCTTGGGCGAGTATCCCGCTGTTCTGGATGTCCAGACGCTGAGTCAACTTCTCACGCATGCCTATACTGGAGTTCGCTTGGACAGAGGGAGTCCCAACCGGTTCAATCGAGTCCAGCATCTGATAGCAGCCCGCTGTGACTCGTCTGTCCTTCGACGTATCGTTTTCCCTTGCAAAGTCAGAATTCAAGAAAACGGAACAAGAGCTCGAAAAAATATTGATCTGACCTTTCTGTGGAACGATGGCCTTCGACGATCTGATGCGCTTCCTCAGAATCGTAAGTCATGTCTGTGCTGATGCTTGAGGTGCGTAGCACTGGATTGAACACGTATTGCATCTTTGTATACGCTGCGTTCAAAGGAGCAGCAGCTCTACTGAAGGTATATTCAGCCGTCACTGTCAGCCCCGCAGGGGATAGTCATCGCCATACTCACGACGGATTTGCCTGAGCCTGGATAAGCCATCCGCTGCACCAAATTACTGGTATGACGAATTCCGCTATCCAGGCTGCGCGTGCAATTTCGCCCGCAACATTCAAGCGCAGTTCAAGGGTCTCGTTGTTTGTGGGTCCGCACTGATCACTGATAGGCCATCTGGCCGATCGTATTGATACCGCTGGCACGGAATGGAGACACGACCCATTCGGGTCACCGGAGCAACCTGCATGAGAATATTTCACCAAACCTACTTTTACTGACCATCAAGTCATGGACCAAATCTGTTCAGGCTGGGAACGCCGCAGAGGGTCAACAGTTCAACGTTCAGTGCCTGATGGAATGGACATCAAACGGGGCTCTTACTTCAAGCCCAGCAGATGACTCGTCTGGGAATATCAGCGGGGCTTGGATTTCGGTGCCGTTCTGGCTGACTAGGTCCCTCCCCTGGATGCATCCTAGTGGATCTTGTCGCAGCGCCACAGACGCGTCTCGGCACACGTGTGGACCCGGAACGCGGTCACGTTATGCGTCCACTTCAGTTGGTGGCCGCAAGCTATAAGAGCTGATCTTGAGAGACCACCGCCAGCTTTCCCTGCTCTTCTCCCCCTTGCCCACTCCCCTCAGCGTGTTCCAAGCCATGGCCCTCTACTCCTGCGATATCTTGGGCTGCGCTCAGCCTGGCGTTCGTCAAAAGGCGTGCCTCATATGCAACCGCCGTCTGTGCGCCACACACCTCAAGCCAGAGCAGCACACTTGTCCGACCTGGGAGGTCAGTAGTCGCGACTCTAGGTACCTTGATGAACCTCACCATGCCCATGAATGTGGTAGACGGATGAAGATGGCTGCCAAGAAGCGTCCGCTCGCGCCGAGCGTGAAGAGATCAACACGCTCATTGCTCGCATCAACATCGGGGCCTTGACGGCGAGAGCGAGCGCTCTGCGCGGGGGCATCCCGTGTACTGTCCCTCCGCTTGCGTACGAGCCTGACGCGCTGCTCAAGACTATGGGTGGCATCAACTACCACGTCAACGTCGAGTTCGAGGACGGCGTGGCATGGTTCTGCCGTATCCGCCGACGGAACGCGTCCTCCCACCCCGTCGAGTTGCAGAACCACGGTCTTCTCAGTGAGGCCGCGACCCTGCGTTTCCTAGCGACGACTTCTGTTCCCGTCCCGAAAGTGCACGACATCGCCACCGATGGCCCGGAGAACCCGGTCGGGGTCGGATATATCCTGATGGACAAGCTGGCCGGCACGCCGATGATATGGGAAGACCTAAATGACGATGGCAAGAAAAAGATACTCGAGCAGCTCGCTGATATATTCATCGAGTTAGCACGATATCCTTTCCCCGACATCGGCTGCCTTGACGAATCCGGCTCGCTGTCCGTCGGCCCCTTAGTGTCGGAGAGCGCTGCAAAGCGAGATGCACTTGGGCAACTGCACCTATTGGGACCGTTCGCACGCAACCTCGACTATCGCAAGTCGATCGTGAGCCACCACCTCGACATGATTCGCAGCAAGGAGACCTACCCTAGCAGCTCCGCCGATGCCTATCTGGTGCACCGCTATCTCCTAGACTGCTTGGCGCCTCTCATGAGGTACAGAGAAAGCGATGATCAAGGGATGTACTACCTCAAGCACATGGACGACAAGGGCGACCACATCCTCGTAGACGATGCTCTGAACATCGTCGGGATCATCGACTGGGAGTGGGCCCAGACGACGTCGAAGCGCGAGGCGTTTGCTGCGCCCATATTCCTGCTCGACGTCCAGGCATTCTACGAGGGCCGGAACGAGCTGAGCCCCGATGAGGAGATGCTTGCATCCATCCTCGAGGATGTTGGCGCGGAGGAGCTCGCTGCGATCGTGCGGGATGGCCGAATCGAGCACCGTTTGGCATTCTGTGTCGGAGGAACTATGGATGACGTGGATTCTTTCCCGGCACTCTTTGTTGGATTCCGTCGTGAGCTGGGATGCGCGAAGCATGAGGACACCAAGGAAGAATGGGAGTTCTGGCAAAAATCTGCTTTATCTTTCTATAAGGACGACGCAGTGCTGCTGGAGTTGATGCGCGAGTCGGACGGTGAGCTTTGACAAGGACGTCAAGGATTTGGTTCGAATGTAAGATTGTGATACGTCGAAATGCTTGGTATGACAGAGTGTGTATATATATGATAGCCTCCGTGGAAAGCATCACATGGGATTGCTGAGCTCGCTGATCCGTCTATAGTACTGTATCGCCAAAATTTGAGGATCCCATCGTGATCATATCTATTTTCTATCAGGCGAAGTATTAGTCATGTTCACCAGCACTGCCATCATGCCAAGCAGAAATCGACTCGCCTATGATGCTTAATCTAGGTGGAATGTAATACGTCTATGTTGATACGTCTAAAGTCTACCATCTATGTCTATGTTGATACATCTAAAGTCTAACATCTATGTCTATGTTGATACGTATAAAGTCTAAAGGAACCAATTAGAACATCTAAATTGATGAATGAAAAGTGCTCTTCATGAATTGCCATAAAGAGACACGCGAGGAGCGATTCCTATCGGTGTACAGCTCCCCGATAAAGACACACGCTTGGGAGACCCGCGTTCTGCAGCCGCTAATAAGGCCGAAATCCCTCCAAAGTCCTTAGGCTGTTCTGGCGCGTATCGTTCGAAAGCAGTGGGTTTAGCATACGCGATCTCGGCTGTCGTCATCTGTGAAGGTCACGTCTCAGACCAATCCTATGAAACCGTAAGAGCATAAAAGAAACGAGAAGACACGTACGAGAATTTCAGCTGTGAGACCTTTGACAGGGGAGGCCGAGCTTCGGAAGCGATGCATGCGATAGCTGGCGTCACCCAAGAACGTCAAGCGCCTGTCGTCCGAGTTCTGCGGGAGGGATCATGCATCAGTGCTTGCAAGACAACCTTCTAGTGAAATGCATACGTGAAGCTCCTCCTCATACGGCCAGTCTACAGATCCCTTCTCGGCCAAAGGCTCTTTTCTGACGATTTCAGGTTCCAGCAGCGCCTCCAGAGGGTGGTTGAAAATGTGTTCCACTTCGTCCTCGCTAGCCTTCAGCCGGTCAAGTACAGATACGTCTGTAAGGAGTGCAACTACCGGCCTGACCACGATCTTCCGGTTGGACAGGAATGGTCGTAGAATTCCAACAGTATGGACAGCAGGACAGTTAAGAGGCAAGCCGACTTCCTCGTGAGCCTCTCTGTACTGAAGAAGAATGTTGAGCGCGCGACGTGGGTAGAGGAAATGGAGCTTACGGCAGTGGCTATGATGTTCGCGTCCTCTTCGTCGACTTTGCCTCCTGGCAGTGCGGTTTCGCCTGGATGCGCGCGGAGAGACTTGGATCGCGTCGTAAGCAGAACACGTAGCTCGTTCGCTTTTTCGTACAGTAGGACGAGGACAGCAGCCAGCCTGGACTGCCTTGAGCTGTGCAGTGCTCTGTGAGTGAAAAGAGACGCCGATCTGAAGTGAGGTCTATACAGGTCGACATCCTCCGGCCGGTGAGACCTGAGTCTCTCGATGCATGTTTGCGACATTGGAGAGAGTTTCCCATGCATGGAATGCGAGCGAGAGCAGAGGTTATCTGCAGCCATTTCAGAGTGGAGCGAGGCTAGTGGCGGTTAGGTCTTAGGTCTTAAAGGCGCCACATCCGTCATCCCTGGAATGATTAATGTCACGGTCACCTTGTGACAACTGCTGCGGTAAGGGGTCACGTCACACGAGATATTTTTTCTATACCGCCGAAGGCAGGCCTAGGCGGTCGAAGGTGTGACTAAGTACAAGTGTAGCGATGGACTACCAAAGGTAGGAGTGGAGGTGCGGTGGTACATCATATTACGACCGGGGAAGAAACTATCCAGGGAGATCCAGGGTCGTATGCAGTCAGGGAAGCCTTGGTCCAGGCACTGTCACTATCCCGAAGGAAAACGGCCAGGTCGAACCAGGCGTCTTTGAAACGGAAGAGCGCAGGACTGCGCAGGCCTGGACGTCACACGAGAGAGTGGTACGTTTGTAATATACACTGCTAGGTGACAGTGCGCTAGCAGAACCGTAGAGGTGCCACCTCAAGCCGTCTGTATCTGCAGAACTTCCATAGTGAACGGGGGAAAGTTTCAGTGCCTGTCTCAGCACTTGATATTTATATATATAGATAAACGATTGCAAGACTTGCGAGGCAAGCAAGTTTTATATACACATGTATGACTATATAATTAAACGCGGGTTTTGCTGATCCATTGCGCGATGTCTGAGGCATTCAAAATGGACCTTGAGTCTGCTCGGTCTCCTTCTCCTCTTATGCGTTTTCAGGCCCTTTTTTCGTTCAATGATAATTTGCTTTGACAGGAGGGATTAATTGTTATGCTGTCACATAGTACGTCGCGGAGATAAATAGCCTCGTTACTGAGCACTGATTACTGAGCGCTGAGCTCTCACTTGCGCTCCTCGTGCCAATGGGATCCCAGCATCTCGATTGTCTTCCGTGACAGTATGATAGAGGTGTAATTGTCCTCTGAGGTCTTTACACATGAAAACACAATCAAAGACAGAATATAAACAACGGAAGAACGTACTGTGAACCTCGCTTATCGGCTTACTATGCACTACTTAGTACTACTGCACCAATGTGCCTACTTCCATATGTTCCGCGAAGCCGCTGTTAGAATTTAAGTCTCATATGTACTCATGGCTGGCTCAGCATAGAAGACTCAAAACAATCTAAGTTCCTCCATGAATGAAGGTGATAAGAGTAGCGCGGAAAGTAAATAAGCGCCGTCGCCGAACCACAACGGTTGCCTTTTGCGGGATGGTGCGAGCTCGTGCAGACAATCTCCGCGCCACAGCAGACATTGATCGCGGCCACTATCAGCTGCGTTCACACCTCTGGCTGTACATTCAGTCGCAAGCTTCGTACACGAGCTGTTGCTGTAACTGTACATTGGAAGGAAAGAGACCACATTGCATGAGATGGACAAAGACAATCGAGACGACGTCACCTTTGCGAAACTCAGCGATCTGAAGCTGCTGATCACATTCTGCATGTGCGGCGTGCGCATTCAATTGTCTTGTCAGAAAGCATGTTGACACATCCATCTTTACGCCATAGATCACAACTTGAGGGCACGGGTAAGCTTCGTTCGTATACGGAACTCCTGGAAAACCAGAGTTGCGTTTGCACGACGTGGAACAGTCACCGTAAGTGTACAGTTCAATCTTTCATCAGGAAAACCCAAATCGACTTGTTCTGACTCGAGAGCCTCCTTTTTGACTTGTTCTTGCTGGTACTTGCTAATAAGTGCACAATAAGAAGCTTCCAACCCAGAAAAAAGTTCGAAACAAGAAGGTCCTGAGACTTTCTCGAACTCACTGTCGTTTTTGGTGACAGCAAGCCGACAAAAATGACCTAAGCCGGATTTAGGTTTTGCTGATGCTTTAACCGCTTATCACACAGCTGAAGGGAACTCTCCGACCTCTGCGTTACCTTTCAACTGGTCGTGGACAACAAGCCGCTGACAACACTGTTCCGGACCTCCCACAGCCTGCCACAGGGCATTCAAGAAAGACTACACGTGGGCACGCCACTTGAAAGGCTGTAGCATATGCTGATGGAATGAGTGCATCACATTTCCTATACCATCCTTCCTTTGTGCGCTCATATCACGTTTACTTGTGGGACTCCCAGGTGACCTTGTGTTTCAGCTCCGAGCGCTGGTGGCCTGTGCATGCGAGTGTTATCTCCTGTCATCACCTCATTCAGAAAAGGAGATTTATATGCTTGCTTAAGGCGAGGCAATGCTAGTATATGTCAGCCTTCGGGTGAGCCCACAGCACGATTCCCGCCTGCTCTCCCCTCCCACCACCATCGTCCCTCCGACTGCCCTCCCTCTCCCCCTCCTCCCCGTTGTGCGCGTCCCATCGCCGCTCAGCCCATCGACGTCCTCCTTTGCGGCGGCCCAGCCGTGCTCGCTCGCCGCCCGCTTTACCTCCTGCCGCATAACGTACCTTCCCACCGCCAGCACCCCGCGACCGCACACGCCTTGCGACCCCTCCCTCGACAGTCCGATCTGCCTTCATGGCAGACCGCCTTCCGCAGCAGTATAATATGCACCCAGCCAATCTTCCTGCCGGTCTTGCCTCCCAGCAACTGGGTCTCGTTGATCTGCATCTGAACGTCAATCTTCAGGGCATGCAGTCCTCCGATCAGGCTCGCATGTGGGCTCGGAAGCAGCAGCAGCAGCCTCAGATACTTCAGCAGTCGTTTCGCCCTCCTCAACAGGGTGCAGGCATGATGGCTAATGATCAGACGAAGCAGCAAGTGTGCTCTCCGCTACATTCTCTCCTTTCCTCCTCTCTGCTTGTAGTTCTTTGGCTGTTCCATCACGCTACACACACAGCCTCTTTTGCGCGTTACGAGATCACGCTGCAGCCTGGCCATCCACTTTACTCTTTACTCACGCCCGTCTACTTACGTCATCACGTGAGCGGTCGAGAGTGGTCGTTCATTTGGCTCAGCCTTCCGTTCACAGTCACGGTCGCTGACTGCTTCCATTATAGATGATAGATCTCCTTCGCAGCCACCAGATGCGGCAGCGAGCCAACCAGCAGCAACAGATGGGCCAGCGGCCGATACAGTTTCCTCCACAGATGAACCTGACTGCGTCAGCCTCGCTCCATGAGCAACTACCACAGGCGCAGGCCTCAAAGAATCCCTTTTCGAACACGAATGCGCAACGGCTGCAAATGATCGCCAACAGTACACCTCAAATTGCCCAAATACTTCTTCAGCGACAGCAGCAGCAACAGCAGCAGCAGCACACGCAACAAGCGTCGATGCAATCATCGCCCACGCCGCAACAGATGTGGGAGTTTCGTGCGGCAACGTACCAGCAGATGCGAGCCCGCGCGACAAAACTGCAGAGCATCATCCGCGAGCTTGAGAAGCAGCAACAGGAGCATGGCTCCCGTCACGTTGGAATGTCGGACATGCAGTGGGAGTTTGAGAGAAACAGGATTCAGTCAGAAATCAACGAGAAGAAGCAGCAGTTTTTCGGATTCGTGAATGAGCTGAAGAGATTGGCCACCGCGAACTCTACTAAAGCATCGTTCAATCTGCTTGCCGGCGTTGAGCAGCAGGGAAATATGTGAGCGGTGTGCGTATTGTGCGACGGTTGATCGCTAACATGTGTCTGCTTCAGAAGCGAGGTAGCGCAGCATCAGGGTTCTCCTCTCCCTGTTCAAAACAATGCGCCTTCTGGTCATTCTCCGCCAAATCTCTTTCGTCCAGAGCCTCAATCGGAACAGCAGGCGCTGATGAATGCTCCCGCGCAAGGGTCCGTCATGCGGGGGAGCCCGTTAATGATGCCTGGTCAACAGGCCGGGGGACAAATGGAGCAGGCTCCCTAACGAATGCTCGGTACGCCGTTTCCGCAGGGTGGAACGCCGATGCGCACCTCGCCGCACATGCCTTCGCAATTCCCGAATATGCCCTCCAATGAGCAGATGCAGCAGGTGCAACAGAGCGCGCAGATGCCAATGCAAACGCCT